AAATGATGTTATTCATCGCAAAAAGAATTGATGTTCAATGGGAAATATCGCAACAATGGCTTTTCCGCACAAAAATTATGCCACGGGTAATCAACGGCGTCGTGAAAATTGAACCCCTTGGGGTTGCCTGAATTATGTTCGTAAAACCTTAGTAACAAAATCACAGTCCAGCAAAGGAGGCGGTGATTCTCAACCCAGGCAATGTATATGTCTGTTTGTTTTTTATGAGCACAAGGAAAAGGGAAGATGTTAGAAATTGTTTCAGGACGCAACAAATCGAAAGCCGCTCCAGAAAGCCAATAAACAAATGGAGGAAGCCTTCGATGTGCAAGACGCTGAAGCGACTGATTGGAGCCATGGAAAAAGATATGGGAATAGTTGCGAGAATGAGAATTTTGGAGTAGAAGCTTATTTTTCCCTCAACACGTTGGCACAAGTCCACTACCTTTAGTGTGTAATTATAACTATCCGGGCGGAGCGGGGTGCGCTCGGGGTTGAAGCGGGGGCAGCCAATGTAGTATTCCCGGCCCGGGGATGATGTTACCGCGGGGAAGCCAGACCCCCAAATCCCGGGCTCCGATCATTTGCTGCCGGTCGTGAGAGGAAGATTTGATGGGTTACGAAATGAACGAAGTGATCGAACTCTGGTTGCTTTTCTTCTTCTTCTTTTTTTTTTTTTTTTTTTTTTTTTTTTTTTTTTTTTTTTTTTTTTTTTTTTTCCCCTAGCAGCAAAACTGGTTGAAAAGTATCAAGTATAGGTAACAGTGACATACATACGTACACTTGAGTCCTGGTAGGTTCGTTAGCTTGGTACCTACACACAGGGGTTTTGGACAGGGGGAAGCCCGCAGACGAAGAATGCAACGGCTGCCGAATACCCTATAAACGCCCTACAATTATACCGACTATAGAGGGTGGAAGGGATTGATTTTAGTGACTTTAGTAATTCTGAGCCAGTAGAGGTAGAGGTATAAAGGGGGTTTGTGTGTCGGGTGGCAGCTTGAATCCCAGATTCTCACTTTGAGATCAGGCAATTGTTTTAGCCAATCAGATTGCGTAGATAGATGTGTCCCGCCTTGCAATTCCCCCTGTCACCCCCTTGTAAGAAAATATGGGGCAAGAATCACGCTAACAAACCTACAAGGACTGATATGTATACACAAACACAACGAATTCATAGCTGTTGGACTTCCAGTTCGTACCACACGAGTACACGCCTGACGCTACTCAATACCATGCTATCTCCGTTTGGTACGCTTGATCATAGCGCTGGCTCCTCCTGCAGTACTTAGTGTACATGAAGAGAACCATCCAAATCTTAAATGAGATCAGATGACGGAAGGTGCGCAAGGCAGCCTTGAGATTTGCGCGGGTACCTAGGTACCTACTTACCTGCGCTCTGCATTCCGTTCTTTCCAAGTCACTTGTTGCCTTCAGGCTTTCCCAGTGTTATGGCATCGGCATATGGCAGCGAGGGCAGTGCTCCAACTTCACCTCGGTTCAGCCTCCTTCCCCTTTCCCTTCGCCAGTCTCGTCGTCTTCGACTTGTCGTCACTCCCACGACGCTCGTCGAATTCCTTTCCAAGCTCGTTCCTGGCACTGCCGCTCCTACTCCTGCTGCTTCCAGGCTCCATGTTTGACGATCCAGTGTTTTCCTTCAGGTTGACGCTGTCGCCCTTCAGCCAGCGTTGAAGCCGCATGGCCGCGTCCATGGCACTATGCGCAATCTCCCAATGCCCCATACCCATTTGCAGCAGGGTGGTGTTCATCATTGACTTGACCCACAGATCATGTCCTGTGTTCTTTACACTTGATATCAGAGGCAGAAGCATCCAGTTAAAGACTCCCAGCAAACAACGCCATTTAGCCAGCGGAACCCTCCACGCCGTCGTCCAGAGCTCCAGGAAATCCTGCATGCTGACCACTTCGCTGAACGGACGCCGTGTCATGATGGCTCGAGTGTACAGGATTGCCGATATCCTGATGGCTTGGTACACATAGTCCGGGCCTTCAGGACTGGGTTGCACAGCTAAGTCTCCTCCCAAACTTCCTTTTCTTTCTTTCGGCATCTCCCCCGCGCTGACCTCGGAACTGCGTCCCGTTGCCTGCTGTTGAACTCCGAGACCATATGCTGAAAATTGCTGGGTGTTTTGTGTTGTAGGTGATGCAGCCGCCGTAAGCCCGTTATTACCCTCCACAACCCCCCTGGTTCGTGACTCAAGTGTCATGTCCACTGCCGGAGATGGAGCGTTGGCTGGTCTCGAAGAAGGTCGTCTCGTTACAGGACCTTCCGTCGAAAGCCTCAACATCTGGTCATGAGTCCAAGCAGCCGTGTGATGCAGTTTCTGTAGTTCCGTCGGGGAAGCGTTCTCAGGAAGCCCGAGGACTGTGCAAACAAGGAACCGCATATCGTCCAGGATCGAGGCCGTGGTGGGGTCTATGTCAAACTCCTCGTGGCATGAAGCAAAGTGTGGGAGAGATCCCGATGATATCATCGGTATCAAGGGCGTGTTCAGGGCCAGCTGCAACGGGGGCTGGGTGCTGTCTTGAAAGTCAAACTCGGGGCCACCTCGCAAAGAAGGTGGTATCTCAAAACACAATGCAATTCCAACGTCCGACCTGCGCATTCTTTGTCAGCACAACCCCTTTTCACATGATACTGCCCATCGAATCTTACGTTATGGCAAGTTTGCTAATCAGCCCGTTCAGCCCCAGCGTTCGAAACCCACCACGAAGTTTAATCATCTCACAGAGGCCGCCCATATGTGCATGGAGGGATTGCTTTTCGCCCCAATACCACTCGTTGATAATGAGCTGAACAACTCCGGCTATTCCTTCGTCTCCGGCTACCAGGCTTGACTTAATATGCTCATTCAAGAGCGCTATAGCTTGCCCCTTATGTGCCATCGCTACCGTCGTGTCAATGATACCCGCCACATGGAGCCATCCTGCAGCTGTGCATATGGCCACGCGAGTTAGGAGAGGCGATCTGAGACAAAACGGAATGTAGTGTTGGATATACGGGTTGGCTGCATCCGGGTTGCTATCTATGGATGCTTTCATATTGCCGATCAGGTCGATGACTGCATTGATTGGTAGTGTCAGCAACGTATACCCAGACCCATATTGTTTCCCAGACGGGGCAAACAACTTACACATGTTTAGCAGGTCATTGTCTCGGATAGGCTGTCCGGGCGCGGGAGGGATGTGTCCGTGTCCTTCGTCCGGACTTGTTCCGGGCCACGGTGCTACGCCGCTAGCTTGAAGACTCCCAGAATCTATGCTTCCCGAGGGTGTCTCTCGAAACAAGGTCCCACTCAGAAAGCGAGCGGGAATAGTGTAATACGTTCGAAGTAGATTTGCGGCATCATGGTACAGGTCAGGATGGACTGTACACCCGTCATTGCAGCCAAATTCTTCTGGAAGTAGACCGCCCTGCGTTCTGCTGAAGACGTGTGGTTGAGGCATCATAGCAGACACGGGAAGCTGAGTTCCAATGTCTATCCCTGACCAGTGCACTGTCACTGCTCCAATCTCTCTTCCAGGACTCGCTACCCATGATGACGATGTCTGCCGCGGGGGTAAGAGGGGATGACGGGCCCCTTCAATTTCGTACTTCCCGCTGTACCGTCCCGATGAAGGCAATACGGATATTGCAAAGGCCGATTGCTGGGAGATGGGAGTTACGCTAGGCCGTCTTTGGATCCATCCGGTTAGTTTCCTTTCCCATAGACAATTATGCCTTGATCATGGAGCTGGTATGTGTACCTGCTGCTCGGTTTATACTCGCATAACGGTTGTGGAAACCGCCTTGCGCAGTTGCTACATGGTTGACCCTGATTGCACTACGGAAAAGGGAACATGCCGTCAGTCTAAGACAGACCAGTACAGATGATGTTCTGGCTAAGTTGGGCCTTGCTATCCTGTTGAGACTCGAACATGACACCAGCTTGGAATTATCGTACCTTTTGTTTTCTTCTCCGGCACTCCCCACAAGACGTTGTCGTCCTCTCGGCACGCGAAGACCGGCCGACAGGAGGACGTGTGGCCTCGGACATGGTCCTGTCTGGACGGCGATTTTGACAGCACAACAGTCATTGGGGTTTGCGCCGAACATGAGCATAGCAGGCCATAAGGCTGACTTATAGCTAAGTCCCGTTCCGAATGATGGTTGCAACAAGGAACAGGTATCAGGCTTCACCCTGCACACCTTCGGCTTTCAGACTCTTTGGGATTAGCGTATAACCTGCCGCTCGGGTTGCCAGGAACCCATCACTGGTGACGGTCTGCTTCACAAGAAGCGAGATGTGCTAAAGTAAGAAGGGCAAAGCCTAGAACAACAGACCACGGTGATCTGCATACAGCTCATCACTTTTTTTTCATTTCCAAGCCTGCGGAGGTGACAAGCATCCACCTTCGGAAGCAATGGCTCGACACGGAGACTATTGGTTTGACATAATCTGAACAGGGTACACCGCAGAGACTCCTGTTGCAACCTCACTTGTTCTACCCCGTAAGCCAGCACACAAGCGTCGACACAATTATTGCGCGCGATGATGGATCATGAAGAACCCAAGGTGCTGCTGACTACAACCCCTGACACGAAGAAGTCCTGAATTCTTGAATGGTTTGGCAACAGACAACTGACATTAACGGCATACCCCCTCAACAATGGAAATCAACGACATACATAGGGCGATGCAACTTGGAACGGACGTGTGTAGACTTGAATATTCTAATAGGTCCTGATCTTCCCCAACCTGGTATGTAGAAGCCACTCCCTTCACAGCGTCATAATACGCTCGCCCTCGAGCCTATTTTGGAAAATGGTCGCGGGATCTGTGCCTCGAGAGTTGTTCAAGTTGGATACCACTGCGAGACCTCGAGGACTCGACAGGTAGTTTGCAAATTGGCGGTCTACGTGATCAATACCGGACTAGTGGTTTCAATGAAGGTGAAGTGGAGGCGTTTCCTCGTTTTCGTTAGACCGTCACAAGCCCCCAGACAAACGTATTGAACTGGGGTTAATTTTGGTTGCCCTGCCGCTGACTCGAGTCTTGGGTAGGTCGACAGGAAATCTCTCACGTTAGGCCATTGTGGCAGTGCATCAGTATAGCAGGGATGAGCTGCCGGATCAGCAGCCGCCAAGCGAACAGGAAGTTGCCCCAGAACTACGTTGCGGCGACTGACAGGTACAGGTCTCACATACCGTCGTCTCGTGCCGCCAGCTCGATACAGAAGCCGAGTGGTAAGCAGAGATCGAGCCAGTAGAGACAAAGCTGGCTTAACCCTCATCAAGCAAATATCAGCTGAGTACCTTTCCAGGGTAGATCCAACAGCATGTTGAGGATGTACCGATGTGAAGGGGAAATCTGGTACAAGTGCCCATGATCCTCGCCTGCACGATACAGAACCTCCCACTTGGAATACCACCGAGGGTCATTCCGAAAGAGTTGCGGACCAGTCACAGAACATCAAAATGCAAAAGCTAAGTGCCCCTACATCCTTACCATGGCGAGACTAGCCCGAATGCAATCCTCATCTGGCACCATGACCATTATGAAGAAAGGCACATGGCTCAACATGCATCGTCAGTGAGGAAAGACTCTTCCCCTCCTTCCCCTCCTCAACTGCCGGGAAGGCCTTAGCGCTATTACTCTGAAAAGAGGCACAGCTGCACACGGATGACACAATTCGAGCTGTCTGGCATGGACCTGCCTGTCCTCTGTCCGAGAGCTTTTTTCCCCCCTCGCCCACGAGTAATGAATGCCAAGACTTTTCGCATAATAGGGGTGTGATGTTTACTATCTGATGAAGCCCATCCGTACAATGTAACGTAACAAGAGGCCCTCGATATCTGATAGTCTATCCGTTACCGGTGTTTCAGCTTCTAGGGCCATAACAGAGCATCTCGCTTCTTTTATCCCAATTTATAGGTGTCTTACCGCTCGTATGAAAAAAAAAGATCGAGTGGAAGAGATCCAATTAAGCATGATTACCCTTGATCGACGCTACCGGCACTGAACTGCACTGTGACGTAGGGCTGAAGGGGTAACAGCTCCACCCAAACCGAACCCTTGGGTCGGCATGTCGAGTTTGAATCACCACTTCTCTCACGGAATATGCGCCCGGTATCATGAAGGGATGCAGTCGGGCATGGGTATGATGATCAAGCTCTGTATCCGGACCGAAGGTCAAACCAAACATTATTAGAGCAAGCAAATTCCAGTCCAACAGAAATGAGGGTCTAGAAGGGTCTTGTACCCAGTTACCCAACTTGGTACCCAGCTAGCTCGAGAGCGTTGTTACCCGAAAAGTAAGCCCGATATTTCCTTTTTTTTTTTGCTCCTCCTTACCCTAACCACCTACAGCCTTCTACCCAATCAAGATGTTCACACCCTCAGAATCGCGGTATGTACAAGTTGATCCAAAAACCGGAACTCATCCCGAGCCTGTGTTCCTTATGAGACCAGGCTTCCAATGCGTGCCACCACTGCCCTTGAAGACTTCGTAAACCAAACCACTCCGGTCCACTCCTCTCTTCCCCGCCTTTTCTGGATGTTTGATAAACACCATTACACAAGACACAAGTGAGTGAGATGACATGGGCACGAGGAGATAGAAAGAAAGGAAAAAAGAATCTCCCTCTCTTGTGTTTTTCTTTCCTAATTACAGTCCAGCTGATCCATATCTGTGATTGATGTGGTTGCTGTGGTGTTGGTGCTGTGCTGTGTGATGACTGCCTGCCAGAACATGTAGTGTGACTGTGCTGATTTGCTATAATTGGTATACGTCGCTAACAGGGCTCAGCTCGCTCTCGTTGATTGATGGATGATTTTCTTTCGACATGTGGTAAAAAGATAAAGTGCGAGCGAGGGGCATGAGTGGCTGGCAGAAGCAAAGGTAGAAGATATTTGATAGGCTAGACGAGATACAGAATGACCAAAGCCGGGTAACGACGCCTGCCGAAGAGAGACACATGGAAGAAATTAAGTGGAGAGACTTCATTGCGACACATGCAAAAATTTCGATAAAAAGCTGGAACGCAGCTGAACAAGTGACGCCAACACTGATCTCAGGTATCTTTCCCAAAAAAAAAAAAAAAAAGGAAGAGAAGCAAACAAGACCGACCCATCATTAATCAGTCATGGTCCACATACCATCCAGATGGCGCTCTTAATGAAGCGCAATTCTGGCAGAACACTTCCATTCTCATTTTCAGTCATCTTCTAGAGTCGATTTGACCCCCCCCCCCTCTCCCTCCCTCTCCTGCCACCGTGACCATCGCGCCAGTAGAAAACACTAGGGAAATACCAAAGCCAACAACTAAAATAGAGCCGGAGGGGCCATCAAGAAAGTCATGAAAAGCAGAAGTCATTATACATCTTCTTGGTAGCTAAATACACTTCTCGTTGCGGGCCGATTGGTATCCATCCTCAGAATCAACCCCTATTCACCCGCCCCTCTGATGCAATAAGAACTGGTATAGAGTATATTATATATAGTTAGATATGAAAAATACGTGGTATTGGTAAGTAGTGGTATCATTGCGTATTCCGTGTCATAACGTCATATCAAGGAGTATTGCCGTCGTTCGCCCACGAGATTGTGTGTGTGGTATATTGTTCTCGTCCTTTCCTTTCCGCATCCCTCCCCGTCTCTCCATCTCGCTGCCCCACTTTCCTCGTCTTCAAGTTTTGTGTGAAACGTTTGCTTAGGTTGGCTTTCCAATGCCCGCTCCATTTCGTATCCAGTCAATCGGATCGCGGTGACACATGGCTAATGGTTTGTTTGAGTGCTTGTGTCTAACCACACTACACCACTTCACCATCACCCGCCGGCAGGCATGGCGTGTTCCTCTTCCTCTCATTCCTCACTCGTGGTATCATGCGCATCTTTTCCCCTTCACCTCACATTATAATTAGGTTTCCTCGCCATGTTCACAACAGGTGGCTCCTCGTCATCGTCAATCGGATACGGCACATACGCAGCCGGCAGGGTGTTCTGCCTGCCATTGAGACTAATCGGGGAGATCAGTCCGTCTGCCGAGGACAAGGGCGTCTTGGGCGGGAGTGGTGGCGGTTCTATCCTCGGCGGGTACTGGAAATGCTGCTGGTACTGCTGGTTCTGGTATCCAGGATACCAGGGGTGCCTGGGCTGGTCGTCCTCGGTAACGATGGCGATCTTATCTTGCCCTGAAGCGTTGCGCCATTGTGCGGGAGTTGGGGCGATGGCGACGAGTTTGTCTGAGTCGTCGGTCCCGAATGAGGCTGGAGGAGGGACGGCGGGGGCTGGACGACTGGGCGCTAGGTGGCTGCTGCTGCTTTTTGCCGAGTGAACGCGCTCGGCTGAGGATCTGGGCGAGGGAGTGTTGATGCCATTAGCGCTATGTCCTGGAACAGAGAGCGCGTCGAAGCCGGATTCGTAGGACTGTCGGCTTGGTGGCGTGCCGAGTCGCTGGGGAGGGTAGATTGGCATATCGCCAGGTAGTTCGACAGCTAGGGGCATGGAAATGCTGGGTGTAGTCTTGATCAATTCGGGAATAGGGCCAGGTGCGGTGCTGTTGCTGTTGGCACGCTCCCATCGCTGCTTTGCGAAGTGGATCTTTGCAAGCTTGGCCGATGCGCCCTGAACCATTCTCTGCTCGTCGTCCCGCTGCAAATATCGCCTGGTGTTTGTGCTGATGTCGGATAACCTGTGCCACTCGTTCATACCAAACTCGCCAACGCCGACCTCAACGTTGAAGCGGTAGTAGTTCTCAATGTTGACGCCACGCTTTACCAGATGCTCCTTCTTCATCATCTCGTGAATCTTCTCGCACCCCTCGATCTTGGCAATCAACTTCCTCCGTGCGTCCGCGAACTCGCCCATAAACCCCTCGTACCAGAGAGTGGAGTTCATGTCACTTCCCTTTGGCCGCTTTCCTGTCCCAACACTGACGAATACCCCAACTTCCCGTCCGGGCCACTCGTTAACTACCGCTTCATCCAGGGCGTACATGGAAGGGTTAAAGACGCCAGCACCATCATCATGAAAAATAGACTGGCCGATTTGTATGGGCTTGAAGGCAAGTCCAATAGCGCAGGTGGCTCGGCCTGCTTGCCAAATCGTGCAATCGAATTCGGGGGCAGGTTCCTTTCTCGAGTCGTAGGAGCGAAGCACAGCTGGCTTCGCGTTTCTAGGAGATCCCTTGTACATGGCCGTCACGGCACTGAACAATTTTGTCAGCAGTCAATCGTCCAAGCTAGGACTCTTTCTGAGATACTCACGTTTTTGTCCGGTTTTCCCTCTCGTCGTACAGACGAGCATGGGGATTTCCCCAGCGCGAAGAGAATGCCGGTTTTGCTGATTGTGCACTAGGACTCCTTGCGCTAAAACTAACGACACTGGCATTGCTGGCGTGTCTTCTGGGATAAGAAGAGGCGGCGCTTGAGCGGGAGACGGCACTCAAAGGACTGAAGGTATCCGAGACAGCGCCGTCGTTTCCTTCCCTGTCGTTGATGGTATGTTCCCTCACGCAGTCCTGAATGGCTTCCTCCAGCTTTGTCGCCTTGAATATGGTAGATCGGTAGGGAATGCCGGCAATGGTCTTGTCCGTCTCAAAGACCTTGCGGGTAAGGCGCACATAGAGTTCCTTGCATGTCTCCAGATCGAGCCGTAACCTTCCAAGCATAATCGCAATCAGGCCGCCAGTGCCGGTACCGACGATAAGGTCGAAGTGGTCGCATGGTTTGGGAATCTCGGAGCGGCGCGGTGCTCTGCCTTCGATTTCGACAAAGGTGCGGTGCATCAACTCCTGGATGATGAGGAACATGGAATAACCACGGACGCCTCCGCCATCTGTCACGGTGTTGGTTAGCGAGACGGTGTTTCAATGCATGGCGCCGACAGCCTGGTTCCTCATACAATAGCTGTGTTTGATGCGCACAGGGGAAGGTGTCTGTTGTTTCTAGGGGGAGACCCACCGAGCGATAAGATGCGCAAAGGCGGCCCTTTTGTGGTGTCTTTTCTCTTGAGCCCACCCTCCATCTTGTTTGTACTCTTGGTGTTCTTTTCTTGCTTTTCTCTCTGATGACGCCCTCTCGCGGGTATGGCGACGAGGCCAAGGGTTTGTACTCTTTCGTTGGGGATCGATCCTACGGCTTGCGGCTTTGGTGGATTTGTGCCTTACGACGGGCGAAGGTTGCGGAACGCGAATGGAATGCGCCCGCGAATGCGGGTGACCACACAGGTACCGTAGGTAGTAGATAGAACGAACTAGTGGCCTTACTGCTGCAGTGGGAGGGTATCGTTGCGGATGCTTGTGGTGTCACTTGGTTTCGAAAGCGTCAAGGGCGTGGACCGCGTGGAGGGGACCTTGCAGCGCTTGATGGCTCACTGGTGCAGAATGACCGGAGTCTAGATGTCACTGACGTTGCTGACGCAGGAGCTCGGGCCAGATGGGAAACGATCGACTGCAATAACCGCCACACCTGCAGCTGCAAAAGTCTGATTAATATCAGGTGGAAGAAGACGATTTCTGTTGCTGTTGGTTGATAATGTCTTTGGGGGAGAGAAAAAACAACCGTCAAGATTTTGATATTCACTCGCTCCCTTTGAAAATCCAAATCCGTACCCGCCGAGCGCTGCGTGGACGAATGTGGCAGTGCATAAGTTCAGTAAGCTCGCGCGAGCCGGAGTCCCGAGTCAAAGCAAAAAAGAGTCACGTTGCTTGCTTATAAACAACCGCATGCCAAGGGGGTAACCCGGCACAGTCATTCGCCTCAGTTTGCAAGGCCGTACATATCTTATGGCATCTTGTCGTCTGGTGTCTGTACACTAACCTAACCGCAGTTGACCCTTTCGCGACCTTTCTTTCACATGAAGCGATGTGAGACCATGTTCGACCAAACGAAAGTGCTGGTGACCGGCGCCCCAGAGCTGGGCATATCTCGAAGCTTGGAGCTGATTGGCCCAGACCACAGGTAGACTTCCAGAATGGCCCCAAGTCTCAATCAAGCAGTTATCGAAATTCCGTCGACAACCATCAAAAAGAGAGAACGCCATGGAGTAAAATGTGGAGGATATGCGAATTCTCCGAATCGTTGGATGTCACTCGATAAGCACCAAACTGACAAGAAATTACAATGGAGAACTCGTGGCGGTGCGAGCATAGTCTAGTCCTGTTTGAGGATGGCGTGCCAAGCAATGACGGATTTACATTACCTAGTGTACTTGCTGTGTATAATAAAAGCCGACATTGGTCAAATGTATTTGAAGGCGCTCAGGCGGCATCACCCCACGGCCAAACTTCTGTATCAGCTCTGAACTTTCAAGACACTTGCAGAATCCAACAACGAAAGTCAGTCACCTCAAGGAGATCGAGATGGCTTCAAAGGAACAAGCAACGGGCGGTGGTGGTTGAAGTGGAGAAATCAAGGATGGATTCTGTTGGAAGTCCGTGCCCTGGGCCGTCCATTCACTGGCCTTGCCCATTTACTGGCACTCCCTTCCCTGGGTATTTAGGCTGCCCTGGTTTCCCGTTTCTCCTCTTCCGTTAGACAACTCCAGAATCAAGCCTTTTCGTTGTCGCTTTTCTAGCCTCCAATAGATTCTCTAGTGGAAAAGCCATCGTTCTACCCCTGGACGAATGGAAAATCAGCCCTTGGGCTTCCTTCCTTTCTGGTTGGCCGTATCCAACAAGAGCGGCTTGCACTTTTCGGTGTTCTCAATCATTACAGTGAAACGCGTGGAGTGCGGGGCACCAGGCAATATTATACACTTACACTACACTACGAGCCCATAGTCTGCAGCCGGAGAATATGCTCCCCCTCAAGATGAATGACGTCATTGTGATTGCTGTACCACTGGCAGCTGTACCTGCCCCAAAGCTACCACTTCCGTACAACACAGCAATGCACCAACTATGGTAACATGCTCATGTGCCTACAATAACCCAGCAACCTGAAGAAATTGACGATGCTGGACATCGTTAACCGGGAGCATCTAGAGTCCAGTCACGAACTCCCAACAGCTTCATCTCAAATTGCAATCATATCTGCATATCCGTCTCCACTGTCACCTTGGCAAGATTACTCCCAGAAGGGAAAACTAATGTGATCTGGCGCTCGTCACTGTCACCGTCACTGTCGACACCAGTGTCCACATCGACACCGCCGGCATGGATTTGATATCATCGTGTTTTGGAGGCCGCACGAGGCGTGCGGACGAGGAGGAACCTCTGTTGTCTCATTACGACGATGATACCGTGTTGCAGAGAAAGCTGCACCAGAAATTACATACCTACCAGATGCTGCGTGCCCTTTCCAAGGGATACATGCCGTCCAACGACCAAGCCATCGCCAACCTTCGAACCCTTCTCTCCTCCGATATTCTGAATCCAGACAACTCCGGCCTCAGCGACTCGGGACGGGCACTTGTTTTCTACTCCCGGAAATGGATTACCCAACTCATTCAGCTCTTAGAGCACAAGAACAGCCAGGACCAGATCCAGGATTTCCTATGGTACCTCTCCAAGGCTCGTGTGTCCGTCGACATGGAACAAATCGCCGAACGTGCTACCAAGGCTAAAGCCAAGGCTGATACCGCTGCCGGTAAGTTCTTGTCCCAGCTTTTGTCTACGTACATCGACAGTTACTGATGGTTCTTATCCAAAACAGTGTATAAGAGCATCCAGACAGTCGGGTCCTTGCTTTTGACCAACTCCGACTTTCGTCTCTTCCTCTCGGATCTTGGTGTAGTTTCTCGCGAGGTGTTTCGCGATACTGCATTTGCCCTTTCCGCCGCATCCAAAGAGGCAGGTGAGCGCCTGGAGCCTTGGAAGGATGAGAGAGAATCAATAGCAAAACCGGGGAACGACGAAACAGCCGACAAACCAGTCCAGCAGGACTTGGAGGCTGAGGTTGCCGAAGTTGGGCAGGTGCTTGGAGACACTGTCGCAACTGTCGCTCAGGAAGCCGAAAGCAGCATCATCAACAAGCTACATAGCGACGAGACGGATACTCTGCTATACCGTCTCAAGCAGGCGGTCACCAAGCTGCGAGACCGCAGGGACTACTCGGATTCAGTATCGACATTCTCGCTCCTCCTAAAACGATATGCTATGGTATACTCGCGCATCGCTCGCGATACACTCCAGACTACTGAGGAAGCCGTTGATCATAACCCAGAGATGGATAAGGCTCTCGAAAACTTCTGGCTCTTCATCAAGTCCTTTGGCGAACAGAAAGAATGGGAGGAATTGGAAAAGAGGTTCAAGCTGGTCATGGACCATGCCCACAGCGACCCCGAATTCGAGAAGCTGATCAATGAGCTAGGCAACGCTGCCCAGGAGATGTTCACCGACCCGTCCTTCTTTGACCATGCCGAGGAGCGTTTCCAGGAGCTCCGAGATCGGTCTCAACAGCTCACTTCTCGCTCTTCCCTGCGTGATGACATTGATGGTTTGTTGTCACAGTTGCAATCCACCTTCCATTCTGTTATGCGTGATCGTGATATCTTAGGTCTGCTTCAGACTACGGCCGCCATTGGCAAGATCTTGTCACCAAAACAGCACTACATTAACACAGACCTTGTGACCGACTGCATCAACGTTTTTGTTCCATTGCTCATTCAAGCAATCAACTACATTCCTATTCCCCGACTGGAGATCGCTACGCCAGAGATTGACATCTTGCTTGAAAACCTCATCCTAGAGCCTGGCAAGACAATCAACCACACTTCTTTCTTCCCATACAAGCTTCGTATTGAGACCCTCAACGACATTGAAATCCGCAAAGCCAGATTCCGCACAACATCAGCAATGAAGAGTCTAGTGAGAATCAAGATCGATGGACTCTCGGTCCGCGCCGAAGAAGTCGGCTTCTGGATGAAGGTACACACCGGCTTACTGCGCTACGTCGACGAAGGAATCGCTTCCTTTGCAATGGATGAAAGAGGTATGGATCTCGAGATCGACGTAGAAGTTGGTCGAGACAGGATGGACAAAATTCTCTCCCTCCGCAGCGTCCGATGCGAAATCCACAAGCTCGATTTCACCTTGCGCCAAAGCAAGTTCAGTTGGCTTGCCTGGCTCTTCAAGCCCTTCGTGAAGCCCGTCATCAAGAAGACGATCGAGATGCAAATCGCCATGGGCATCGCCCAATCCTTACAGTTTGCCAACCGCGAGATCCTGTTCGCTAGGGAGAGACTTCGCGCCACGCGCATTGCGGATCCGGATGATCTCAAGACGTTCTTCAAGGCTGTCTTGGCGAGGTTGACGCCTCCTGATGATCCGGATGTCAACATACGGCTGGGTATCACGGATCCTGGAAGGGGCGTGTTTGATGGAGTGTATGCTCCTGGAAGTATCGTCAAGTTGTGGAATGAAGAGGCTACGCAGGCGTCACAGAGGATTCGAGAGAATGATCAGGATGGATGGAGGAATAGCGTGTTTGACGTTCACACTACCTTGATGACATGAGGGATATGTCAAGGGACCCTACTACTGGGGCTGTGGACCAGTAGGTATGAAGGTATAGTAGTTTCACTTGTGAGGATACGTTTTGGTGTGGCGATGGAACAGCGTTTTGCTTTTGGTGGTAATGACTGGTCTCTGACGGATTTGCGAAACTGATATTCTAATTTTCTGACCCTTATGTTGAGAGATCTCGGTCAGATGGACTTGACAAGAAGAAAACACGTCCTATCTTCTCAGGTATAAGGGTGAGTGCACTCTGCAAGGCGAGACACCTGTGATAATAACGAAGGGGAAAACAAGACCGATAACAAATACTTTCACAAATCATGTCCTGTTCGAGGCTTTAAGATGTAATTTCAAAACCCTACCAAAGCAACACAGAAGACCTTCAGAAGCATAACGATCTCGAGCACTAGAAGCCCTTGGAAGTAACACAACCCAAGTAATTTTTCAGCTTTGAAAGGTAGGCATTTCTTTCAGAATACCCAAGAACAGATCAGACCAATGAAAATCCACGAATTCTGTGCCATGACTTCATCCCAGAATCCGATTTAGACTACCACCCGGCATCTGTTTCCCCCCTCCCCAATCTCAGCCGTTTCAGGTGTTCTTATGCCGACGGGCCATAGGTCGTCCATTCAGTTTCCGAATTGATGCCAAGTATCTCTAGTTTTCTTGTCGGCCTCGTTCACAGCGCCTCCAACATTCCAAGGTGATGCTTGCTGGACATGATTGGAAGCGAAACCAAGTCAAGCCCTGTTCTCGTGATTGTGATACAATAGCAGGCACGGTACGGTTAGATCATTCGTTCCGGCATTTCTGTTTGTCACACGTCACGTAGACTAGAAGCCTTGGGCACGGATGGAGAAAAATGAGAGGCCTCCCGCTACTAGGTGGCTCTGGTACCTAGTTCTGGTTCGATAAGTGCCGATAGGAGGAGACCAAGGTAGATCAAGGCAGAGACATCAGACATGGGATATCAAGAGATTCAAAGTACTGTTGGACCAACCATGAGCTGTTCACAAACTAAGCCAATGCATACCAGGATACATCCACGTGCAGAAATGGAAAACATGGAAATGAAATGAGGAAGTCGTTTGAAATCACCGAAAAAGAAAAATGAGCCAAAGGAAGTGTTCACTGGAGCATCATATAGTGGCATGCCAAGAAAAGAGTGACCTTGATGACGAGAGACTGCCATCCAGTCCTGTGTAGGACCATGAAGGAACTGGGTAAGCTTGGGTAGACTCGGGTGAAGCATCGTATCGGAAAAGATGGTGGTGATGAGGAAGGGCTTCATTGATGTGAGTCTGCCGCGGTGTGTGGTACAGTGGTATCTATGGAGGGTGTGTTGATGCGCGGTGTGAGGAAACGGTTTTGTCATCTCGCGTCAGGTTTTGCGCTCAGTTTTGAAGTGAGAGGGGGATAACGAGCGGTAACTTGATAAAAGTGATGATGGTGGTGGGTGATATATCACGGTTATCTCCTCTCAATCAGATGTCGGTCTGACCTCCTTATTTTTATTTTATCATTCTTCTCAACATCGTGGTCACGGACAAACAAGCCAACACTATTAAGAAGTGGGAGATCACGAGTGATTTTCTTCGCAAACCTACCTCAATCGACAACACCATCAACGGTCAGATCAAAACAGAAAAAAAAAATCGCCCAAGATGATCCTGGTAGACATCATCTCCATCATCCTCCGCCTTGCGGAGCTTGCATTCGCAACCATCGTTGCCGCCCTTAACGGGCGCTTCCTGCACGCCGCTCGCGGCAATTCACCATGGGATCTCGGCCGACACATTTACACTGAAGTGGTGGCGGGTTTGTCCATTCTCTTTGCCATCGTCTGGCTGTTTCCCTTCTCGAGCTCGTTCATCCACTGGCCCATGGACCTGGTCATTTCTGTTATGTGGTTTGTGAGCTTTGGGCTGTTGGTAAATTGGTTGCATGGGGTTTGTGGGTAAGTGTCCCGGGTTTTTCACCAGTAAAGGAAGGGGAGATAAGTTTGACGGGTGCTAACTAGTGGGCAGATATGTATTTGATTGGGATAATGTTGGCTTTGATGGTGTGGGCTGTGGTGAGTGGAAGGCTACGGTTGCTTTTGCCTTTCTTAGCGCCATTTGTTGGCTTGTTAGTGCTTTGGTTGGGTAAGTTTTATCACCTTTTTTCTTCCAAGGTATGTCCAGATGCTAACATATGGAATAGTCTCTACTGGGTTCGTCGCCATACCCCCGCCCCTGTTGATGCTGGATATCGTCGCCGTCGTTGGTACCGTTCTCGCGTCTAAATTCAGGTACTCGCCATTGAGTGTCGAATGTAGGAAATTCGCCTACGGACAAGTGACAGATGGCTTGATGACTTGCACAGAGGCGGAATGTCGGCCTTGTTTCCCCCAGCTACTGTAATTTTGGACTGGAGATGTTTTGTTGAAGACTGATGGACGGAAATGATACCTGATACCCCGAGAACGAATGGATCTGGACCGCGCTAATGATGTACTGTTTGGACCCCACTCTTTAATCGCATCTCTCTTTACCTACCCCTGAGCAACAGATGGAATGACGGACGTTTATGGAGACCTTCTGGGATGATAATGACGGAAAACGGGCCGCATATGTTATGATTGGCCGCCATGTTGCTTGCTTCTTGGCCTCGCGTGGGAGCTGAAACACTTGAGAATCCAGTTTACTACCTATACTCGTTTGCATAAATATCTCGTTGATCGTAATATCTTCCTGGTCTTAATTAGTATGCGACTAAATTTGTCTCCAGCGTTGGTTGGAAGGAACCTGGCAAACGTCGCATTGAAGCTGCGTCATTGGTGTAGGGCTGAAGTGGGACATTATGACGTCAGACTAGTGGGGTCATGCGGAGAGACATGTTGACTGTTTGAGACATTGCAACGGCGCGGGGAAATTCAGTTTGAAACTCTAAGCTCCTTGTCAGTATTTGGCCCCCAGCCGAGCAGCTACAACAGGAACAAACACACAGTCGCAATCCTGTTAATAACATCGAACTCGTATTATCCATGGGAGCGGCATGTGTGGCGGTAGATCGGTCGTACAGACGGCTGCAATCACCTGGATTTTCCCGAATGGTAACATCCATATTGCCTTGTCCAGGTCGGCTTTTCTTTCATCTGCCTTGGTGACTGTGAAGATCTTCACCATTAGAAGGCTGAACAGAAGGCCAGAAGACACACTTCTTGGCGACGGAACATGGAAAAGTTGGTAGGAGCTGACGAATCGCTCTTGGACTCTTGTTGCAGTGTCTTGGAGCTCCCTTGTGAAGCACCGTCCAGATGATCGGGACCCTGATTGTCACTTCTCACTTCCTCTTCGGGTTTGTCAAGATGTAATTCTGACGGTCCAGATGAGTCTTCCTCTTTGAATGACGTCTTTTCCTCCATCTTTTCTTTCACATCTGACCGAATCTGCTTGTTCCTGACGAGAAAGCATTGGCTGCGGGTTTGCCCCAGATGGCGTTGTACCGGTCCTTGTTCGTCTCGTCTGCACTTCACGCACTGATGACGACACTGGACAAGACGACCATTGAGTAGAGGTACGTACCACTTACACGTTCCGCCAGGTACCTGCCTTGCTGTCTTGCACATGTAGTGTACACTCACAGCCAACAGGCATAGTCAAGCAGGAACGACATGTACCAGTATCAGATGCCTCGTTCTCTGCCGGCCTCACCTTCCCTGCGGTACCTGGTGGCCTTGGCTGCCGTCCGAACTGGATCGAGATGATGCCATAGCCCCCTTTCCCATACGCCTTTCTCAGTCATGAAGCGAGGTCGACTTTGGTTATAAAGAACACCTCCTTCTTGCGACCTCAGCTCATATTCTCGATTCATCATCATCATCATCAACAACCTACACTACAACCGACCACAACGAACAACACACACTCTGATACCCCAACCACCTTTACATTATACCCCCAACCCATACTCAACACACAAGAACATCATCCAAAATGTCCAGCATCATCAACAAGATCAAGGAGGCTGTCCACAGCGACAACTCTGCTCACCACGGCGCTCCTGAAGGCACTGCCGGCCCCCACAACTCCCGCGTTGCCAACGCCGCCGACCCCCGTGTAGACTCCGACATGGATGGTTCCCACCGCAAGGTTGCCAGTCACGGCGAGCACGGCAGTGGTCACGCCGCTTACGGCGCTGGCCACCCGGAGGCCCACACTCTTGGCGGTAACCCTACTTATTCTGGCTCCAACACCACCGGTACCCACGTCGGCACTCACACTGGCGCTCACACCGGCACAACACATGGCACTTCCGAGGGTGCCTATGGCCCCCACGGCTCTCGTGCCGCCAACGCCCTAGACCCTCGTGTCGACTCCGACCGTGACGGTTCCCGCACTGCCGGCACTGGCGCCGGTTACAACACACACAGCACTGGCAACACCTTTGGCTCTACCGGCACCCACGGTACTCATACCACTGGTAACACCTTCGGCTCTTCCAACACCCACGGTACCTCCGAGGGCGCCTATGGCCCCCACAGTTCTCGTGGCGCCAACGCTCTCGACCCCCGTGTTGACTCTGACCGTGACGGCTCCAGGACCGCTGGCAACACCACTGGCACTCACAACACCGGGACCTTTGGCACCATCGGCACCCACGATCGCCAGAACCACCCCTTCAGCTCCAACACCCACTCCAACGTTGCTGGTTCCGGCCATACCGGTATGACCGGCACCCACGGTGCTCCTACTGGTACCCACGGCCCTCACGATAGCCGTGCTGCCAACACTCTTGACCCCCGTGTCGACTCCGACCGTGATGGCCGCGCCAACCTCGGTCACCACTCCGGCCCTGGCCCCGCTCCCAACACTGCCGGCCCTCACAAATCCGACATGGTCAACAAGTTGGACCCCCGCGTCGACTCTGACCTCGATGGCAGCAAGACCGTCGGCGGTAACAAGACCTATCAACAGTAAGTAAGTAAATGCGAGTTATCTTGCCCGTGGCCGAACATCCTCTTTGAGGTCGGCCTGTGGCGTCCTGGCAACACTTAAGCTAACAGCTTCTTTCAAGACAACCTCACATTTCAAACCTCGCCCACAAGGATCCCACAGACGCTGCTCAGGTCCCTCCTTCTGTTCTCCGCAAGAGCATCGGCGAGCCTGTCATTGAGCACGACGACCACGGGCACCACCGCGAGAGGAGGAACAGCATCAAGACCCACCAGGAGACTTATAGCGGCATCTAATCTGTTGGTGTCTGGCTAGAAAGTTGAACTCCGGTGGCGTTCATGGCTTAATGGCTTTTACGACTTTTATGACTTGTTACTTTCCTTTTTGTTAATGACTCGAGGATACCTCTTTCTCGCTTGTGTACTATCCTAGCATGTACCACCTATACCACGTTCCTTGCTTTCACTTCAAACGCACCTTCTCAATCATTGAGTTGGGCGGTAACGATATGATACCCCCATTGTGGTAATGGACGACGAGGAAAAGTATGTCGACTAACGGCTACGAGCTTTTTTACAAAGGACAATTACCTCCAAATGAGAACTTGTTACCTTGTACACTCTCTGTATTTGCCTTTCTCCAAAGTGACAGTTCATTAGTAGAACTCTTGTTGACACGAGGGCTCTCCAGCAATGCTTGGGCAGTTAGAATTAGGGCCAGGGAGTAAAGTGTGACAACATTTGACCTCAGATTCGTGGTCTTGATGACCATATATGTCTTGGTGTAAGTGATACAATGTCCACATACTCGGCATAGACACACTAACAGCGAATTTCAAACCGTTCAATAGTAGTGTACGATAATATTATCCGCGTTTCGTCAGCCGCGCAATTAATGATAACGTTTTAATGTGCTAGAGCCGTCTTACACGGTGTTTGCTAGTTTGGCCTCAAATATCCGACACCACCCACTCAAGACCAGATAATCGCGGCATTCTGTCTAATGTATCACGTGGCGCCATCTCAAGCCAAGGTACATACGCCCATGATCACCAGACGCTCTGGCAGATGGAGGCATTGCATCCGTATCATGTGTGCATTCCGCATCTCGCTCCCGGAAGTGTTGCACGATTTTTGCAAATGTTTCCTGTACGTAGGGAAAGGTTTGTTATCCAGACTAACAGACAAGAATGTAGGGACATTCGTGGGGGGTTTTTGGGTTCTATTCTAGGTGACAGCCCTATAACAAGCATTACTTGGGGGTTGTCAGGCGGCTTGGTTGGAGCCTTTTGTCAACCCCCTCTTATAAAAGAGGGGGAAATTTTATTCTGGGATAAAATTTTTCATAATTCGGGCCAACAATAACTACGAACTCCTTTTATAGTTGCCAAACAGGGGCATCGTCACTTTTAGTCGCGCGAGAGTATAGAATAATGTATAATAAAAGAAACGCTTGCAATTGAAATTTCCCCCCAACAGCCTGGCCAAATCTGATGTAATTTGGAGAGCCTCTTCCTTTATAAGCCTTCTCTCTTTTCAAATTTTTATAGAATTTTAGAAAAATAGTTGGTGTCGTCTTCGTTGTTGCATCTTCCCACTAACAGTTTTCTGTAGTGCAGCCTAATAGTTCAGATGTCCCAAATTAAAAGTCTGTCCCAGAATTAAAATCCCCCCTACTTATTGAGCAGGGGTTGAGAAAAGGTCCCGCCTACCACCAAACCGCACCTGTTACGCGAAGATGTGCTTTACAAGTGATGACAACAGAGAATGATAGAGTGAGCAACTGGTTGCTGGACAGAGCAACAGTGCGTAACGATTGACGACAGTCTTGTCAAAGGAAGCTGGAGATAAGAGCTGTCGCGAGCCTCAACCTGGGACTCTCGCATACGACTTCACTGAGTGTAAGCAAGATAGACGTTAGGTTGGTATGATATTGATCGATGATCCGTCAACCTTGGTAGAGGTTGACGGTACGAGCACTCTTATAGGACAGACCATGCGCTCTGGTGAGCAGCTGCTATAATAAGATAGAGCATCTAGGTAGGTATCCACCAAGAATGCCCCATAACAGCACCACAACCCCTAAGTAGCTTGATTATTAATACTGAAAGCAGGGATTCACTTGTATGCTACCTATAATATAGAGTTCCGGGGCACCACTTTGAGGTTCGCAGTCAGAATGAATCATATGGGCCATATATTTATCACGGCAACATCACCTCTACCTGGACACTTCTTATATTGAACCATCTCTCCTCCTCTACCAAAAAGTTATTCCACACCCACCTCAATCATGTTAGTCGTTCCTGCTCCCCTAGTATCTACTCCTATAGCGACAGAACTAACACCGGATAGCCATCATGTCGACTCTCCTTGTCAACAAGCCACTCCTTGGCCCCCTCGTCGGCCTCAATGTTTGGACTTTTGCTATGGAAACTCTGCTATACATACGCAGAACTCCAGCGCTGTCCAAGTATGGCGTCACGTTCGATCCAAACACTGTCAAACAGCAAAAAGCAGAGAAATTGCCTCCTTTCGTACAGTGGCCGGCGGATAACTTCAACAATTTGCTGGAACAACCTACCCAATTCTACGCGGTGTTGCTTGCATTGAGCTTGATGGATGTCAAGGACAAGACTACCGTACGCTTGGCGTGGGGTTACGTGGGTCTGCGAGTCCTTCACAGCTTGATACATGTTACGACCAACAATGTTCTTCTGCGCTTTCCGGTTTTTGCCACGAGTTCGGTTGTGCTTTTGGGGATGACAGCCAAGGCCGCTTGGGAGCTTTTCTTTTGAGCGTGTTGTCTAGCGGGGGCGGGCGGTAATCACGGCTTTTGTAGGGTTAAAGTTATGTTCCGCTGCAAAAGCATAGAGGTATCCTATGCAGCTATGGGCCTCTCTGTTGCGCGACCTCGCGCAACTACAAACATTATACACCTGTCACAAGGTTGACCGCCCCATCGAGCAGCTGCTTTGCTATATGGGAGATCTTGGTTTTGGTTGGCGCGTTTCTGTCTATGTACTGTCCCGCAGCACCCGAGACAAGTCCTTCGAAAGTAGGATGTTGTTAGAGGTCCGAGACAGATTCCTCGGCTAGGGGCTGAGAAATGATCCTTGGAGCCTTCTGGATCTTCAGAGCCCATTGCCTTCTGTACTACCGGCGTTCCTGGAAGGAGAAAACTGTTAGCTCCTCCTCCGGGTATGTGATGCTGTGCTAATGGGTAGTAGTGTCGAGAGGATAGTAGCGTCCGGGGGGGATTGGAGTGTATGATATGGAGGTAACGTAGAGGTAGTAGATACCTGTTTTTTGGGCGTTCCTCCCTCCAAAAATAAGCTTTTAACCGTAAGTCTGTATATTGGGGAAGAAGGGCAAGTCTACCTCTACAATTCGATGTCATTTGGTCATCAAGTTTGTGTCTGCTCGCAGACACAATGTCTCCTTTAAAGGAGCCGTACATTTTACTACGTACTTCTTGAGTCAAACTACAACCCCTCTCTCCTCTCATAGCATACATGAGAACCTTTATCGAAAGAGGGATTTTGTAATGTCATTGGATTTGAGCGTCATCTTGACAGTGGACGCTGGAACAACGATGGGGGGATTCCTCCACCTTGTCCTTTCAACATCACAACTATCCCTCTCACTCTCAAGACCACAACCCATACCAGGTAGTAGATCAATTCGGAATAGACTTATAGTCTGTTCTAGTCTATTCCTAGCCCGCCGTTAACGAGTGTCCGTGTTCAGCAACTCAGCTGTATCCGAGATCCGGGTTCGTAATCTTATATCGTGTCCGGGACCTACTATGCTGACGGCACTCGATATGAAACTTAGCACCTTGTTCGAAAGGTACTGTTGGTAGAATGTTTGAATTATCTCGGACACGGCCTAATGTGTTGTGGATAAAGTAAACGGGATGAGAAACCACGAGGCCTTCCGATAGTTGTCTGTCACTGCGCAAGAAAGTGCGACCAGATACCTACCTCTATCTTTGTCTTACACTAACCGATACAGAAAGAATTGGTCAATAAAGAAGCGTCTACATACTACGAGACACGTTCATCATCATTCGCCTACCGAAAGGACACACAGTTTCAGGCGTTTGTATAAGACCGATCAGACACATGGATAAAAAAAAAGCAAGCAAAAACACCCAAAAAAAACTCACAAAAACATACAACACCTGGGATTCGCTGGTCGTCACCGACCCAACTACTAGTCAGGCGATATGTCTGCATGTCTATGGGAGTGGGAAGGACAGGAAACAGGTCTTTTGATCACGTGGTAGGGTCAAAAAACTGAACCACCACCTCCCATATCCATACCGTTCGGACGGAGGCATTACGGTGAGTGGGGAGGCGGCGCTAAGAAGATGAATATAATTGGGCGGATCACGAGAAAAGTTGACCGTCCTGACACTGATCTCTCGCTCTTGTCTTGTTGAATCACGGTTTGATGATCCCATTACGACAAACTGATCACGATGGACCTCCTTCATGTACCTGCCTTAACCTACCTCCTTCATCTGCCTGCATTAGCCTACTTTCTTCATCTGCCTGCATCAGCCTACCTCTTCCCCTCCATCCTGGCGTGTCATAACCATGGTGGTTGGCTTGCAACACACTGTGGGTGCAGCCGCCAACACCTTTGTAGACGAGTCGATTGGCTGCATACGGGGCAGGGCTGCGGAGCAGGAAGACGCTGAAGAACCAAACTACGAACGAACAAAGCACTCGGGTCTTTTCGGGAGAACCACCACTGATTGGTTCCAATGATTCTTTGGCTTTGCTGGGCTCTGCAGCTGCCTAAGTCCGGAGGTTTCCGCTGCCCCCGCAACCTGTCAGATTTCAAAGGTGGAGTCTGGCTATCTTCTATCGAGGTCAGCGGTCCAACCACGTCACCTGATTTTGACCTGATTTCCTTGGCATTACTGGTGGTGGGTGGTTTCGTTAATGGGTTGTGCAGAACCGTAACAGATTTGGTGAGAATCGCACCCATTCCTGTTAGTAATTTGAACATTCCATTCACGGACCTGAGCCAGCTAACTGGGGAACCCAATAGCCAGGGCTGCGAAACAAAGTGGCGGCGGCGTTGAGAGCGACAAGGCAACCACAGCTCTAGGATCAGAAGCCAGCAGCCTCCAACACCATTCACAGTATGCATGTGCCCTATTTATAAGCCCGTCTTTTTACTTGTCTGCCTTGACTAAGTGCATGCCTAAGGAACTAAGCAGATCAAGCCTGTCGTCTGTTATACTCTAGCAATGTCAAGGAACGCTAATACTGCACGCGAAGCCCAGAGGCCACCACGCGTACCACAACTACTTCAAGCATGGCTTCAAGCTAAGCACCTCGCCGTCGCTACCCCCATATGCTGGGGGTTGAGTGGACGGACGGTATGGCGGGATGGCTTTAAGCCTGGGTGGGGGCCCGTGTCAGCACCCGCCCCCTGGCATACTTGCATGGGGCTTGGCTCAAATCGAGGTTGGAAGCCTTGATATCAAAACAAACGCTACCCGAAGTGAACCCTCTGGTTGCCTTTTTGGCATGTCCTCCATTGCAGCATCAAAGCTGCATTTGATCCTTGAAAGACGAAAAGTTGATGTGGCACGCTGACATTAGGCTTGATGTAAAGGATGTCGCCAATCTAACGAGAGAGAAGAGAATGTGTTGCGCCTTTCTGAGGCAGTGAAATAAGCTTTTGATAGCCGCCATTGTCTGGCTTTGGCGAGCATTGGCAGTGAAAATGAGGAGAAGGAGTAGTAGGGACCAACGCCGAATGACTTTGCGAGGCTGTCAGTCTCTCGTGTCCTGGCGCCTGCACGCAATAACCAGACGATGCTCCAATAGGCTGCGATACCTGGTTGGGATTGAACCCAGTTGATTGATTCGATCCCGCAGTTTTGTACATACAGGCCAGCTGACGAGGTGCCATGATGATAGATGAGAGAAGATAGAGAGAGGAAGAGCAAGAGCAAGTTAGAGAAAGAGGGAGGAAGAGGAAGGTTGAGGGAGGAAGAGGAAGGTTGAGGGAGGAAGAGGAAGGTTAAGGGAGGAAGAGGAAGGTTGAGGGAGGAGGAAGATAGGGGGTTGAAGGCAGGGGATGCAAGGGACCAGTTTGAGGCCAATCAGCGTTCCAAATCGAGAGCCCCCGAGATGGTTACGGGTGATTGTCAAGGATGGTAAGTCGCCGGAGAAGGTGTCTTCCAAATGAAAAAGAAAGGAGAGAGAAACCCAAATCACCCAGACAAGGCAGTAGGATGCTTGTCGTCAGATCCATATCCCAAATTGTGTCGACGCCAATGCAACTTGTTCTGTGAATAGTTATCACTCTAAAGGGCCCGGATGAGAGCGCCGGTGACGGCAATTGGATGGCCTTCTTCGTGATCGCCGCCCAGTATTCTGATGCTTCTTGTATCGACAAGGAAAAGCTTGCGCCCAGGAACGCCAGAGTTGCTACGCCCCAGCCGGATATGCAACCCCTGTCTGTCTTCCAGAAAGGTTCCTAGGATAAACTCATCCAAGGAGCGGGAAAGACCATCTTATCTTCGATCGTTATCGAAGATTTAGCGAGTATTTCCCGTTCTCTAGCCGGTGGAACTGAGGTCGCTTATATATACTGCGACTACAAACGCCAGGACGAGCAAACAGCCCTCGAACTTCTTTCCAGCCTCACAAAGCAGCTGTGTCTCTCAATGGAATCCTTGCTGCCGGGTGTGAGAGCGCTCTATAAGAAACACGCATCAAAGTGCACCAGGCCATCTCGTCAGGAAATGACTCAGGTGTTGGGGGAAGTCATTTAGGGCTTTACTCGAGTTTACGTCGTTGTTAACGCACTCGATGAGTTGCTCGATAATGACGACCATCAAAATGTATGGGTGGACGAGCTGGGCAATTTTGGACGATCTTCCCTAAACCTAAAAATATTTGTCACTTCAAGGCCACCCACTTCTTGCAGATATCAGCCAATTCTTCTACGACGCCTCCAAAGTATGACAGGCTAGGGTGCATATACCTAGTGAGCCAAACTACCAAAAGATAGGCCGCTGTTCTGCTTGCAAGGCAGAACACGGAATGCACACTATATAAGCAATGTCAACCTGTGACACAAAGTGGACATATTTGCTAACTAGGATAACGTGGGGGCATATGTGGAAGGGCAGCTTTCAAATATGCCAGACTCATCGCTCCTCTATACTAATAAATTCCCTATCAAAAAAGTTCTCTGGCAAGAGGTCAAGGACACAATATTATAAGCTATCCGGGGAATGTAAGTTGTTATTGTGCATACTAAGATGTCAGTTTTATAATTTATATTAAAGTGGTCAGTTACGGATCCGAATAGCCTGACTGGAACCCTGGACATTAAACGCTCTTGAGTTAAGACTTGTACGATATAAGGGCTACCGGCTTGTTTTCACTATACCTTTAAGTAACTGGGTATACCTCAGGACTTCGTAGTTTAGATTCGAGATTGGCGTTGGTGATGGTTGCGTATCAGGTCCCAACTTTAGCAACTTGTGCCTGTTGTTGGCACTTTGGTTCTATCGTCTCTTTATTAAAGTTGTTAGGTTAAATGAAGAGCTCCGCTTGTTGTTGGGACGACATTTGGATGGATCAATGCTTGACCCTTCTGGCGTCATATACAGACTCTCTTGTACTATCAGAAAACGGCGTGCTTTGTTATAGAAGGAGGTGCGTAAGATGAATGAGGGGCATTAGAACAACATCAGGGAATATCTTCATATTGTTGTTAGTGTCAGACTGACAGCAGACTCTTCAAGTTGTCCGTCTCGGCGGTCAATGAGGCGGAATAGATGGGTCGTGGAATCCCATGGCTTTGCAAAAGAACGGTGAAGAATCCCAAACAAAGTCTGATGAAGAAGAAGCTGCCACCTGTTGAAGAGGGGTCTACTGCTGATCACTTCGGTTGCTCCCGTCGATCTAGCTTGGAAATGCCGCTGTGTTTGGTTGAGAAAGTTTTTTGCTAACTATTCAGGCTTGAGCTTCTTACCAAGAGACGTTAGAGAGATACTTTATACTCACCTGCCGAGCCCCTCCGCGACTCCGTATCAAGGTCATCGCCCAACTTCTGCAGGGCACCTACCTCACTAAAGTGACGAGGAGGGACCTAGCTGGTGAGGGGGTTCCTCTCAAGAGCTCCCATCGACGGGAATCTACAACCATCAGGCACCGTCACCCGGCGCCGTTTACCAGCTGGCCTTCGCTGGCTCGCCGGTTTCAGTGAGTCGTTCCCCTCCACTGTCATGTCACCGCTTCCCCTTTTCGCATCCAATCCATAAGGTCGGGTATCCAGTCGCCGCTCTGCTATCTTCCGCCGCCGCCTAAGGTAGCCCCCCAAAACCACCGACCCCCCCCCCTTTGCCAACCGAACCGCGTTTGTTTGGGTTTCCCTTTTTTTAACCTTGCCCGAAAGCCAGCTTCCGTTCTTCCTCGTCGTCGTTATCTATCGAAACACTCCTCCCTTAAACCAACCACCAAATCCCTTCCACCACACCAACATCACACACATCCCGACAAAATGTCCTGGCAAGATCAGTGCCTATTTCCGCTTACTCCCTCTCCCGACCTTGGGAGCTGTTTCATACCTAACCCCACCTCGACAGAAGCTGGGAGAATGCAAACTAACCTCTTAAATGTCGTGAGCAGCCTATATTGACTCGAGGTACGATATATTATTAGAAACCGCCCACTCCTTTGGAACAACGAATCGCGCCGCCGCCATCGACTGCCATGCGCTTGATTGCTTGCGCCTTGGCGATGGCTGTTCGGCCTTGAGAGAATGCGGAGAACTACCTATACATGAAACGGGACATGATGAGCTAAGATATAACCTCCTACATATAGACTTATTAGCTCCGGCCACGTCGATCAGGCCGCCATCATCAGCGCCGCTGGTGACAGCACCTGGGCTGTGTCTCCCGGCTTCACTGTACGCCCTACCATATCAACTCCCCTGATTTTCTGTCCCCGCCCTTTCCCTGCCCCCATCTCTATCTCTCTCTCCCCGGCGCGCACAACTGGTCGGACATATACCATCTCCGAGGAATATTGAATGCTACTATAGCAGGCTTTGTTTACGCCGGGGAAGCAGAAAGCAGGAGCGAGAGAAAGGGACAGCTAGGATGGGAAGCTCCGATGCTGTGATGGGCACCAATGTTCCAGGAAAAGCTAACATGGCATGTGAACGTATTGTAGGTGAGCGCCGATGAGATGAAGTCCATCGCCGCCCTCTTCACCCTCGCCGACGCTTGCAGTCTCCACGTTGGCGGTCAGCGCTACATTGTCTTTAGGGGCGAAGATCGTTCCGTCTACGGTCGTCAGGTGCGTTTACTACAATACCTCTGCTTCTCTATCCCCCATATTATGCCTCGTTCTCGCGCCGAGCCAAGTGGCTGAGTTCTGCTCAGAGCTCCCCCACGTCTCCAAACGTCGCATGTTCAAGCTTACTGACGATTTTCTCCCGCCAAACAGGGCAAGACCGGTATCGTCATCGCCAAGACGAAACAGGCCATCCTCATCGCCCACCACGACGAGAACACTCAGGCCGGCAACGCAGCAGCGACCGTCGAGGCGCTCGCCGATTACCTCGTCGAGCTTGACTACTAAGTCAGTTTCATCTTGGAGGTAATAGTTGGGGGGGAGGGGGGGACGAGATGTTACGAACTCAAGCGACACAAGGGCTGACCAAGCCATCGGGACCCGACTGCTCATTCGCAGTAACCAGTGTAACCCTCAGAAGGGTAGGCATCGGCCTAAAAGACGCATGCAGAGGCTCACTGACGCACGGGCTCACGGTGAGCAGGGCTCACAGTGAGCAACAACACCAGTGAGCCATCACCACACTATAGGGGTTCACGCTCGCGTGAACAGCCAGAAACAGATATCTTGCAATAGGGCGAGGAGGTATAAAGGGACGACTGGAGAACTCAGATTGTCAGATAATTCGACAGTAGTCAATTGATCATTATCACCGAGACTAGTATAACGCTACCATACTTGTTGTGAACCCTTTGGCTTCACCGAACGTCTTCTGATAGTATCAACCTTCAGCTATCCCACTTAGGCAGATCAGACTGCCGTTCGTCACACGAGATGATTGGACGTCTTGAGAATCACTGCCAGGAGAAAAAAGTGATAGCGGGAAAGGGAAGGAGAATGGAGGGCGTAGGACAGAAGGATGGAAAGAAACACTTTCCTGTGAAGGAGTATAGGGGGGCTGGTGTACTGGATGGATGGTATCCTTTAAATAGGCATAAACCCTTAGGAATGTTTTTTTTTTTTTTACTGACAACACATTTTGGCGGCTTTTGCTTTTTCTTCAAAGCTGAAGCTTCCGCTTGTTAGAAACTTGACGCAACGCTTCCTCCGAAAGACTTATGATTTTATAGACCATTTAAAACCCCACCGTCTATATAGTAGTATCTGATTACCTCCCCATAATCATACATGAAAAGAAAGCCTATTACTTCTCCATGCACGCAGATCACTGTATATAATTCTCTGCTGATTACACTAATTCGCGAAGCTATCTCTCCGTAATACCTCTGGATCCTCTCGGGCTTCCCCAAGAATCCCCCTCATCCGATCATACAATCCCTCGTTCTCTTTTTTCCACCTCCCACCATTCGGAAATACTTCTCTCCGTAGTTTGTTGACCCAAGGTATCAACGGCTGGTAGTATAACGTGAAGTTTTCTTGTGCGGATTTGATGAAATCTCCTTCATCATCCACTTTCGCCTTCTTCAAGTCTGCCAACATTACCGGGCGGATATAATTCCATTGGTCAAACTCTTCAATAACTCTGCTCTCGTTTGGCCCGTCGTAGTGGACGCAGATCCAGAATAGAACCCAAAAGAACGACTCCAGATCGTGCATAAAGGAATGTTGTTCGCCCAGAAGGACCCCAATTGCCATGAACGCCCTAGTGCCGGTCATGCCCTTTGCTCCGGAGGCACTTTCTCGTTCCTTTCTAACAGCAAGGTCTAGGTCGATTAAGAACGAAGGCCAGGAAGGGTTGTTATCGTCCTCATTAATTATAAGGTTATTAATGGAAATATCTCTATGAAGGAGGCCGGCCTTTCTCCATAGGGACTCGTGTCCGTCAATGCAGCCTTTCAACGCAGCAAGTAGGGCCGCTCGGGAGCTTGCTTTATAGATGGGTTGTCCATAATCGCGAAGAATGACTCGCCGATGTACCCGATTCGGCAGCGCATCACTGGTCGGAGATACCGTATAGGATCGCTTGCTGGAGGGTAAAGCGGCGTCGGTTTGGCTAGATGACCGTTTCTTGCCAGCTATGCTAGTACTGCGGCCTTTCCGTGAGGCACTAGCCGTAGCCGTCCTGGTCGACGGCGTCGAGTGTTCCGGCCTGTAGTTCTTCGCCGTACTAACATCCATTCCTCCCCGAACGTTGCTTCGGACATCGTCATCGGTTCCGCGCACTTGGACCGTCTCGTAGTGATAGTATCGAGCTACGTTCACTACCCCTTTATCGGTCGCATCTCGCAGCAGCTCCCCTTCCTCGTCGCGCTCAGGGTACTGCCAGGAATCCTTAATGACTAGTGGCGTCTGCGGGTCTCCCTCGGGATGGGCCTTCCAGCAGGTCGTTGCCCGGCCGGATATACAACGTGCGCGTAGCATTACTTCATTAATGATGAGACGCTCTGTTGAGCCATTCCTCTTGATCTGGACGAACTGCTTGTCATCCTCCTTTATGATGGATGGATCGAACCCAAGCTCCTCCTCGCTCATCCAGAGAAAGGCGAGGACCGTTGATACGAACTGTAAGCCCTCGTTGTTGATATCGAACTGTTTGGATGCGATGGCCCCGAGCCGATCAAACTCCCATAATCTCATGAGTGACCCACAGATAGTAAATCCCAAGACGAAGCGACGACTGTTCTGCGTGTCTTGAGCAGCGAATACTTCCCTCGCGTACTTCCCGAGATCGAGCCACGCGTTTGACGCTATATCGGCCGAACGATTGCTCTTCAGCTCGCCCGGTACGAGGACATGCGACCAGTTCCATTGAGTATCCTTTCCACCCTTTGAGTCATCCACGAAGCCGACGTCCAATTTGCGTTCCGCTTTCGAGCCGAGGATCGGTTTATTAGGTTGTACTAGCAGCCTTCGTTGCGGCGTCGGCGTCGGGGTGTACTCTTCTGCAAACATTGCCAGTTTCTCGCTCACTTCTGCAAGCCAGGCCAGGACACGGTCCTGGTTCGCATCTGTCGGCCACCCGCGCCAACCAGTACGGAAGAGTGGTTCGCTGCCCTCCATGCACTTGTTGAAGACGGCCTCTGATGCTGTCTTTAGACCTGCCACCCGACCGAAAAAGATGTTATGGAAGTTAGGAAGGTCGACGTACATAGCGCCGAGCTCATCCTTGAGGACCATGTCCACATGCCTACGATATTCGGAGGAGTTTGCAAAACTGTTCGTATTGAAAGACTTCGGAGTTTGAAGAAAGGAAAATACTATTGGTCGGGGAGGCGGGGTGGCTTCGGTAACGGCACAGTACACTTGGCGCCAGATCTCATCGTCGGGCTTGTTGGTGATGACTGCATTGAAAAGTGGTTCGAATTGGTCCGAGTCGAAGTTGTACAAGTCGTCGGAGATGAGGGCGGGTATACGTTTCAACAGATCGATTTGAAGGGTACCACGGCCAGTATTCGAACGTAGAAGAGAGGTAATAGGGAGGATTTGGAGTGTATTCAGAAGCCTAAACGCAAGATTCTGCAAATCTAAACAATGGTTAGATGGGCATCTCGGCAACATAGGCCTGTCTCACTCACCTTGTTGGCCCAGCTGACTAACCGCGTCTAGCGCAGGACAGGAGATGCCCCTATCTTTACAAACTGATTCGAATGAAGCACGGAAGGCATCTAGGCCTGTGCCGATGGGATGTTCTCGGATGATCTCTGACTGAGGTCGATCCGTCATGGCGATGGTGATGATGTTCTTGAGACGCGGCTATGGAAGGGGGCGAAGGTCGCGTTTCGTGAAATGTTGCGTCTAGTATTATCACGTGGTCAACTGTCAGATCGACGGACGGTTGAGACGTTGGGAACAATAGGTTAGGAAAATGATTGATTGCCGGCTTGGTTGGAGAAAGTAAAATGGGATGATAACTGCATTCGCCAAGTAGTTTGAAGAGGAGAAGAAGACAAGAATACAAGGGAGCCTTGCACGGAGTGTTCGAAGGCTCCATAATGCACGTGACTGAAAGGATGTGTCACAAACGAAAGAGTGGCTGGGGCGGCCAGGTGCCCAGATTCAGAGAGAAGAGTGGGGCCTACATACGGATGAACCTATGGGTGTGCGGATCACATTACTATGTACCCTGAACGTCAGATTCGGACCAGTAGGTGGCTGTCAAAGTGGCCAGGCCCGCTTCTGAAACTTCTGGGATTGGGCACCCCCCAATGCTGTCAAGCTGCTAACTTTGCAAGTACCTAAGCCCTGCAAAAAGGAGCCCCTGACTGGTAGTACGTTCCCTCGTAGATCGAGGCATCGAGAGCCTCCGACTGTTCAAGAGGCGTTGAAAGAACTTTTGAAGACAGGTAGGCGACACTGAATGCCGATCCATCTTTCTTTCCCTATGCTGTAAATACCGGTACAGGTACTGACACCATCTTTCTAGCAAACGACCTCATCGAAAATAAAGACCCCAATCGGGTCAAATTTCTCAGAAGGGACATCTTGGACTTCGTGAACAACACTCACCTGGCGAAGAAATCTGAGGGTATTGCTAGCTCAGCGGCAGCACAGGGCCAGACTCTCAGAGATGAAATCAGCGGCGGAGCTTATGGCACCGCAGGCGATGTGGAAGCCGAGGGAGAAACGCAGTGTGGGGGCGTGAGCATGAGAGACGAGGAGCAAGCTAGAAAGGAGGCAAGCCAGATTGATGCCAGTAACTGCGGTGATCGCTTTGATTGGGGATCTGGTGGGCCTCCGGGCCCTACTTGTTGAGTGTGAAGGAGGGTTTCGGCCCGGTCTAAGAGTAAGGAGAATACCTTTACTAGATAAGCGAAGGGGAAGCAGAATGTATGGGGGTGGGAGGGAGAGGATCTGGCGTTTGAAGGACCAAGAATTGGCAGTTTGAAAGATGGGATACGGTAAACAAAACCTGGAATGAAGGATAATATGTCTTAGGATATTGCGAGCTTTCTCATATTTCATATCGCAGAGGCAGTGTCATGAGCGCGCCACAAGACAGTCTCTACCGCGCATTTTAGCGAACGATAGATCACAATCCTTACCTAGATCGACGTACAGTCCAATGCAATGCAGTCCTCACCTCGATGTACGTCCCTCCTGCATGCCTGTCCCGTGACACTACAGGGACTCTTGGGCATCTTCCCAGACTGCGCTTTCATCGGAAGCATCAGAGACCGAGTCGTCGTCTTCACCACTGCTGGGAGGAGGTCCGCTATAATCCACCAGAAACTGGTTCAAGTTCACCTCCCCCAATCTCCTCCAGTCCACCCCGCGTATCTTGCAATTCTTTCTCTCTACCTTCTCCCCATTCTGTAACACGTACGGATCGCTCGGGTCAAAGTTCACCGGATCATCGAGCAACCTAGCGCCTACCGCTCTGCGCATCTTTTCCTTGCTGTCTTGCCACCAGTTGACGTCCGTAGAGACCTCGACCGTCATGGCAAACCTCCCTTTCAGGTCAATATCCTCGCGCCGTAATAGTATGGCCGTTCGGACAACTGGAGGCACCCCTGTCTTGGCATCTTTGTTCTCCAGAAACACGAATTGGACTGCGTTCGGATCGCCGCTGACCCGCCCCTCGTGACAGATCTTGCCCGTTATTAACGCAGAAGCGGTGTACTGTACCGCAACGCTCCTGCCCTTGCTATACTCTGCGTTGACCGAAGCGATGCCGTCGTAGCCGACAGTCGGACCAAAAGATAGCTCGGAAGATGATACCGCGCTGACGGGCGTGAAACGGCTCAGCTTGGGATCCTCCTCAGACGGCACAATTCGCTTTGGGACAGGATCCCACGCCGAGAGGTTGCCACCCGGTGGCACACCGGGTCGGGAATCCGAGGCGAAGAAGACAAGGCTGATGCGTACGGCGCGGAATCGGTGCCGGGTTTCGACGCTGCCGGGAGTCATGTTCCACTCCAGCACAATGAGGGTACATGGCGTGCGGTTGCCGTTGGCGAGACCGGGCTTGCGGAAATAATCGTCGGGTTGGAGGCGGAGATGTGAGGGAAAGGATATGGAGTGGAAGCCGTGTACAACGTGGACGAGGCGGCCGCGGACGACGGTGGTGCCTTTCCTGTCGGAACCGGTAACGTATTGACGATTGACCTGGTAGGGACCCTTGTTCCGGATCTTGAAGCCAGCTGCTTCATCGTTTGAAGCGCAGAGAGGGATGTCGAAGGTGAAGTTGTCGATGTTATCCATCTTCCCAGAGTTAGCTCGCGAGTCGTGGTCAGTGTAGAATTGGGAAGAGTAACTCTTACAACTCCGAGTATTTACTAAGCAGACGGAAACATGGAACACAATGAAGATTGTCAGGCCAGAGGAGGAGTTCGATATGATGAATCCTCAACTCCCATCGAGAAAGAGGCGGCGTTCTCCCACATGGTTGTCTTGGGTACCAACCAGGCCCATCAGGCTCATCAGCTTGACGATTCTGTATGTATTCACCATCGGCTCTGTTTGAATAGATGCAGGTGCAGACGAGGCTCCTGAGTCCCAACAGCAAATCAGCATGCATCCCACACTTCCCCGCTTCTTCAAGCGGCTGAAGCCACCGCAGCTGCATGTCTCACCGGACACAGGAAGGTGTCACGACCGGCCCATCTCTGCTCAGCCTGACCTGCTTGGTACCTGCTCCTTCCAATAGCAGTCCTCTTCCAGCGACATCTGTCTTATCATGCATCGGGCTCCATCAACACGCACATCTGGCAGGTGCATCTTTCAGCTTCTTATCATGCATATTCTCCCACCTTTTGACCATTTTGCTTACAGTGCCTTCGCGGCGGGGTAGGGTCCAGAACCGAAGGTGGAGGGCGCCACGGTCGAGTGGGTGAAAACCAACAGAAAACAACATCTGTTAGATCCAGTGTTTATATCCATTGGAGGATGATAGACATAGAGGTGTTCAGAAAGAGAATATTGCAGGGGGGCTTTGAGGATGACCTTCCATTCTGTATCCCACCTTACGCGCAAGCCTCCTTCCAAAGGTGTCTGAATACCTACTGAAGCCTGATACCCTACCAGCGCCTTCCCAGCTGCACTCATGACGGGATTCTAGACGGGGAGTCCATGTGATGAGGAGTCTCCCGTGTATTGCTGCCTTAAGGCATCGTTACCTTAAGTTCAGATAGGCCTACCGATGTCTCCTTTGAGGGGTATCTTGGCTGTGTGGAGGGCAAGAGTGATGGTTATGTGTCCGGAGTTGTGTAGCGCCTTACGACACGGTTCCGCCTGCGTTGCAGAATTCGCCCATCCAATAACTGTCAGCTCTTGCCTAATATGTATCCCGAATACAAGACGCGCCAAGCTAGAAAAATTGGATTGGTTCACTGAGCGAGTGTCCCCCCACCTTCCCATGATTTGACAACTGCCCATTTCGAGTTCTGGGCGTCCAGGAAAGCGAGACATGTCTGCTTGAGATTAGGTCCCGCGGCCTGTGAGGGGACGGAAGAACACAAACTAGGAAGGGCAGATTATCTCATCAGTCAGATGTTGGAAAGCACTGTTTGAGGTACATCGGGGCCCCCCTCTTTTTTGTAGTACCTTTCACTCCTGCCCTGGGACATCTACTCGCAGCCATTTCGAGGTTCTGGTATTCTCTCATATGAGTAGGACCCATCGATACTCAGGTTACTATCCAAATATGTCCGTGCATTGAGAGCCCTTCCCGTGTTCTTCTACCCAAGGTAACTAGAGAAGTCCGTCTTATTGTGAGAAGTCTCTCTCAACACAGAGCTTTCCACATCCGGATGTATCAATCCGGCATGCACGAGTACCCTGTTCACGAGGAGTCTAGGATTGGGAACTTCGCCAGTTTTGCATGTGAATAGTTCCGCCAGGTCGACGTATTTGGTGCCGGAGTCTTGCAACTTGGTGAAAACCTTGTTTAGGAGCTTGGCTGGTGTGACGGATTTCACCAGTCGATCCAGAGCTTTGTCCTCTCGAAGACAATGAAGCACTAGGGCAGCTACCCCGGCGGCTACAGCGGTGGCCACCGAGTTACCACCATCGGAATCAGCCGCACCAGGAAGGACGTTCTCGCTTGGGAATATGTAGTCGGTCTTGTCAGGCGTAACATACTTTTGTGGCAAGTTGTAGGTGGTGGCCGCACCGATCTTTCGTAGAGACTCCTTCTGTGACGTTTCGCACTCGGCTGGATAGTATCGCGTGTCGGCCGGGTCACTGCCTCTGTTGTCCCTAGCTGCGCAGTACACCACGGCTGTGGATTTGTCGAGCATCTTCCTGAGCAATTCAGCTTCGTCTATGACTTCAGGTGTCACTTTGAAGTTCCAGCTCATTGAGATAATATCCGCACCTTCGTCCAGTGCCCATCTGACTGCCTATACGTATGCGCCCATTGTTATACTGTCAGTGAAATAATCTAGGCGTCACTCATCCGATGAAGAAATAAAAACGTAATATGACAGCAACTCAGGGGTCATGGTAGAGAATGAACGCACCGAGACTGCTTGGTCCACTTCTAGCTCGGGATTTGGAAGGTCACCTGGATGATCTTGATTGTCGATTTTCGCCACCAAGATCTCCACGAACGGGCAAAGACTAGATATAATCCACGCCATCTTGCTACCATGTCCCTTTGTTGAGGTGTAGAAGGGGGCGAGACGGCCGTCTAAGGAGCTTTGCGGAAAGCCATTGCAGGCAAGATGGGTACCCAAGTCGCTGTATTCAGGGTTGACGCCATCATCCATCAGGGCCACCTTAACTTTCCTCCCGGTGCTGATTGCCCGCTGCATGTTTTTGAGAGCCAGCGCAAATTTTCCTGCCGCTTCGAATCCCGCGTGTTTTCTGTGGTATGTGTGTCAGTAAAAAGTTACCCGCTGCTAATTCCAGTGGTTCTAGCTGGACAATCACTTACGAGGCTTTGGTCGGAGAACCTTGAGACTTGTCCTTGCCAGATGGTGTATTACCCGAACCTTCCATATCAGTTTTGTCAATTACAACATCAATCTCCTGCCCCTTGTCCGTCTTAAATCGCTTTTTGAGTCTTTTCTTGAACTTGTCGAGGTTATCAATGTTACGCTGAGGAGTCTCAAGCCCCTATGTATCAGGGACCATGGCAAAAAAATCAGCTCAGGTTCGTGATCAGTGTCCTTTCAAATCCCGGCAACGTTGGATTCACTAACCTCTTCGGCTCTCACGACGATCTTTCTTAACTGTTTACGATTTCAGTTAGTTATAAATCGGCAGAAGCAGTGAGAAAAGCGAGAGATGAAAGAAGCTTGACGGCTTCTTCAAGTGTACACATTCGAAGTTGGATCAGGACAAACCTTGGGAAGTTGGACCAGGCCGTTCTGGTCTGACCAGTGATGCAGAACAGCGTTCGTTCCAGTCGAGTAGAGGGATAGCTCGATTAGACGTCGAGCTTTCTTAATGGTGGGCACAGCCAGGTCTGGTCTATCCCAGTCCAGAAATCGGATCTCATCCATGCACTCGAGGCACTTTTCGATTGCCTCTTCGCTGCAAACCCGATCAGGATTGTCGTCAACCACCAGCTTCAGGATCTTAGTGACTCCTTTGTCCTTGAGCCATCGAAAAACTTTGATGATGTTTGCTGCGTCATTGTCTGCGATGGTCTTGAGCTGGTCTTTGGACTGTACCACGTTACTAGAGCTGTCCAGTAGTTCGGGGCGGAGGCTCAGAGACACTAGCGCAAGGCGAGATTCAAACTTCAAGAAGTCATAATTGTTGGTTGTTCTGTGCGTAACCCGCGTCGGGAGCCGAAAGACGCAGTCCTTTGGTCTGGATTCTGTATACCGGCCATTATCGTGTCAGCCCGGTTCATCTTGGTATGTTTACGGCTGGGATAATAAATGATCTTTCCATCCAATATAGCTGACACCTACGTTTATTCTGCGCCTCGGTCTTCCTCGTGTCGGTATCTTGAAAAAAACAGCGAATCATGTCTTCGTAGCCTCCAGACATATCATGGATGTTGTTCTCCAGGTAACTGACAATTCTTCCCGAGTTCTCCAAAGAGCCTGAATCATACTGCCATGGCTCTTTGTGCTTCTCAATTGCTCCCTCGGATTCTTTCTGCCCATCTTCGTCTGCGTTCGGATCCTTAGCCGTGGTGCCCATGTGCTTTTCTTCTGTACGTGTTTTGGAATTGATGGGTTCGTTGGGATGATCTTTTTCCGGCGGTTTGTCGAGCCTCCAGCTATTAGCTCGGGGACCAAGCTTGAAATCATTGCCTGATTTGCCTTTCGCTTTAGGTCGGCTGGCCTGGCCGTCAGCCCCTTTGTTCTTGCTGTTGGTGAGAGTTGTTGTTGCTGTCGGTGGGTCCTGGGACAGTCTCTTCAAGCTCTCAACACTCTGCGTTCTCGTTTCCAGATGGAAAGTGTAAGGAGGGTGTCCTGCAGAATTGTGTTGTTTTAGTACGTCGGGGTATCCTTTTACCAGCTCCTTAATGATGCCGTGATAGTACCCTTTGAACTCGGGAAGGTACTTGTTCGCTTTTGCGGCCCTTTTGCATTCGTCACACCAATCTGATTGCTTGAGTTCTTTCGTCTGACATGGAATGGTGCGCCTTCCGAGTCTTTCGAAGTGTAGTGCATCGTGCAGTGGCGTGTTCCCATTCTCCAATTTAGCGGCTGATTTGCGTCTCTGCGTGAATGCGTTCGGTTGTGAATTCGGACTGACAGAAGAGATGATGCCTTTAGCGTCGTGGATGTTGTGACGAACAACAAGATGAAGGCAGTTCTCCTCTTTCGCATTCCTCATAGCAATTGCGGCGCTCCGGTTTGAATCATCAACCAGCTTGCAAATTCGACTTGTGAACCCCCTAAAGCGGACCGGTTCCTTGTTCACTTCAACATCTATGGCTTGGTGTAGTATGGGAATAGCATGGCGTGATGAACAGATTTGATCAGGCTCCTGCTCCAGAATAAGACCCAGGAGGAATAATGTCATCTGTAAAGTCGTCGCGGTTGCATGTTCCATGACAGTGTGGATGAATGACTGTTGGATGCACTTCGTTATTTCGGGACGATAAAACTCTTCTTTCTCATGTCGAAGAGCCTCCAACTTTGCTTGGTCTGGCGTGGCGAGTTCCGCCGGCTGGTTCTGACTGTTGTCCTTTTCCAACTTGCCTGTTTTCTCCACCTCATCCCAATCCTTCAGAAGCTTCCTCAAATCTGGATCATTGGTGATGTTCTGCCAGAGCGTGGTCGGGTCGGTTGATGCTTGTGGTACCGGTGTTTCTTCTTCGGGGAAATAAACGGGATCGCCCCCGCCTTCGGAGGCAGAATCACTGCTGCTCCGATCACTTTGATCTGGCTGGCTATTTGTGTCGTCGCTGTCGGAGTCACCCTCGTGTCGATCCAGTGGCTTCATCTTGGCCTCTTTGCCCTGAGGAGTGTTCAATAGAAGGTATGAGTTTGCTAGTGTGGTTCTTGCCGTGGGAGGGGAAGTTTCGTAAAGCAGTTTGAAGAGAGGGGAGATCAGAGGTAAACGGATGGGTATAAGAAACAGAGAATCCGCGGTAAAAGGGCGATGAGGCTTCACGTTGGGGACGTAGATCAATGAAATCCGTTAGGATGTTAGGTGGGTTTTTCCATCAACAGGATATCGGCACGGCTGGTCAGCACAAGAATGAAGCTCTGCCGCCATGTGCGATTGGGTCCAAAGGGACTGAAGGAGGCGACACTGCCGTCGAGAAACTGCTCACTTCCCCTTGGGCTGTTGCTCTGCTCGGATACGAAGTGGGGACTGCAACCTTGGTACAAGTACATTGAGATATTCCTGCAGTGCCATCGATAGTGTGGCCAAGGATGGCTATAAGGTACGTAGGGTAGTACATGGAACACTTTTTGTTTACCGCGCCTTCCTGGAGTAGCCGTGTGGGCGGTTACACACGTTTATACCTACCTGCATATGTAATGTGCTGTGTAACTTCCGTTGCTCCATCCACTTGCCAACCCTTTGTTTGCAGTGACCACGGGATGATATGCAAGTATGTCCAATACTCCCTCTCCCTCTGAAGTAAGCACACCCCGCAGGCGGGGGCCGCAGTGCCGCAAGCTGACGGGACGGGAGCCGACTCTACCTCTGCACAGTATCTCTGCTCAATTTTCACATACAGCACGACCCGAACTCAGACCGGGGCGTACGCGAGACACATCTCAACGTTCGACTCAGCTCTATCTACTACTTGCCTGCATTTCCATACTTGTTTTCTTTCACTTGCAAGAGTCAAGATTAGCCACAGTTTGCTGCAAATCTGTCCTTCATCGAATCCTCTCCATGCGACCCAAGTTATCACTCGCGGCCTGCACATTTTACAGCCTCATAGCCCAAGAAATCTTGCAGTCCGAGGGCGAAACTTGTCACGGAAACAGGCCCGAGTTGCGTTACCTTCTGGCAGTGAGTTGCTCATATCCCGGCGGTTTTCTCATCTACCTTACATCCCGCTGTCTTATATGTCGGTTCTGACCTGACACCTTCCGGCTTTTTTTTTATTTCTGTCTCCACGATCAGATCCAAGGGCAAAGCAGAAACTATCCGGAGGGAGTCATCTTTCCGGATCGTGGAACGATCAGGAGTCCAGAGACCCAGGCGACAATATACAATGGATCCTCCAGATCTCAACAGGAACAATGTCAGGCAACACCTTGGGCAAAGTCATGATGTGTCTCTTGGTATTCTGGCGCGAGATCCTACAACCTTCAAGTCTCTATCCGAAACCACATTAACGTACGTTTCTCACGGGAGCTCATCTGCCCCAACATTTTTTTTTTTTTTTTTTTTTTTTGGCGTTGAGGCTAACTGGCCGCCCTTTTACTAAGCTTTTTCAATGTTTCTGGCTTTGCAGAGCAGTATGCTTCTCCTGCGGACATCCCCGAAATTGTAGACGGGTTTCTTTCGGGCGTTCGTATTGACTCAAATCGTTTTCACTATAACACATCCGAATTACTCGCGGCTGTTCATGTTGCCAAACTGCAGGACTCGGTAACTCGCTCTGCTCACGAGTTCCTTTGTTACATGCAACAGGTGAGCATGCGACAGGTAAGTGCGAATTGAGCTCAGTATCGCTCATAATCTCGATCACCGAGCAAGCTAACAAGCCATGACAGAGCCGTGGTAGCTATAATGCCTCGTCCAGCATTGTCATATGTGCGGTGGACATAGGCGCAACGATCGTCAAGGAAGTACGTAATTGACTTGGGCATTTTCCCACGCTTTACCTCCAGCTGCATCGGACTGTGGTACCGCATGAACTAACCGATCTGTATCCACGTTCTTTTTGGTTTTGTCCCTGGTTTCCGGTCATTCTCCTCGTATACTATGTTCCCTTTGTCTCAAATGATGTACATGAACTGAGTGGCTAACCTTGGAATACGTTCTGTACTCTGTTCCAGGCCCTCTTCTTAGCAGGTACAGATCCTCTTCATCGATATGACGAACTGTTTGGCCGGGTAACCTTGGTCGTAAGTATGCGCTAGTTTCTTCACTTCCTACCTCGGGCTGAGCAGATATGGCATCACATTATCTCCGCAAAGGAATAGTGGCTGGGGCTAGCTATGGTATTATCTCTGCCTGCCTTTTCAACATATGGCCCTTATAGTCTGGGTTACTGGATTCCCTCTACTGAGTGCTGACGATGAACTCATGCAGGCCTTTTTTGGATCATTACATTGCGCCAAAGACATATCGGAATCGTTAACCATCCTATCTAGCCTGGTCCAAACATGTCGAGAGGACAAAGGTCAATCCAACCTGTCACCACAATTTTTGGTTGCACTTGCTGGGGTCTATACAAATGTTGCTGAGAGGTTTGAGAAAGCCGATAAGCCTTACCGAGTCATCAGTTGCTTCCAAAAGTGCGCTTCCAATTCACCGCACTCACAGGTCAGTATAGTTTGGTTTATTATTCAGTCATCAACCTTTGATGGGCTTACTAACATGACCTCAATACATCCAAAGATTGTCGGAGAGTCTTGCGCCAGAACTTTCGCTACAGGCGAAATTCTCGTAGGCTTGGACAGGCATCTTTTGCAACTCCATGAGGCGCTTGGGCTTGAAGAAGGAGAGTTTTGGAGAATACAGTTTGAAGACGCCCATACACGTAGGTTACCTCTACCAGACTTCTCTCAGTTCTTCAAATGGAACTTATGGACGCATGTGCTGAAGCTTTTCTTCGATCACGCAGGTAGCCTGAGTGCTTACAAGGAGTTAATTCAGGCATTGGATCCGGGCTTTCCATGCACAACCCCACGCTCTCGTCAGACTTACCATAACCTTGTCGAGCGCATATTCGCGAGAGAGACTGTAAAAGGATGGTGTACTTCATCAGCACGTCGTCAAGTCTTCCTTCGTCTACTAATGCCGGATTCTTCCGTCCGCCTTGACGTACTCGGTACTGCCCTCGCTACGGGTCTTTCCAAGATAATTAACACAAGTTCTCTCTTTCCTCCTATCACACTCTATCTTGACGCTGCGGATATTGAGCGTGAGAGCCCGGGGTCCCGTACGGCATGCAAAGCCTATGGCTTGTTGTGTGCAGGACTCCTTTCCCAACAACCAAGCTTGGCAGCGCGGACCTTGGACATTGATCCCTTGGATATAATGCACACAAGGGGCCAAAGATTGCTCTCTATTCTGACAGAGCAACTACGGGCACTGCTCATCAAGCTTCTTTGTTGCCAGAATGTCAACAGAGAGGTCTATATCGTTATCACCATCAGCTCTCCCTCGGAACTAGTACAGGACGTTCTCTCCACTCTTTCCAGCATTGTGCAATCGACAGACACCCGAGTCACCGTCATTCTTTTGCAAACATCATCCAGCCAAGAAGAGCCTGTTTTCTGTGACGCTTCACGGTCTGACACGCCCGAATTCTGTTCAGAAAGGATAGAAAGTGCGGAGATCTCCACTGCGCTTGACCACGACATCAAAGACTGGCTTACTGGACATACCACGCCATCAAAGCTGTTCCTTGATAAGGAAGCGGAGTCAGAGGCCTTTCAGAAGTTGAAAAACTCGGTATCGTCGTCGGAAACCGAGCAATTTTTGGTTTATTTAGAACAGGCATCCAAGGAAGCAGATTCGCCGATACAACCACTACCCCTCTATCAAAGCTCGGCTAGGTTTATCGCAAGAATTATACGTCGTCATGGTCATTGGCTTTTGGTGGCTCTTGTGTGGATCTACAATGCTAGCCGTCCTCTGACTCTCGAGCAACTGGACGAAGCTGTTGACTTTGACTTGACCCTTGGGCCGGAGTTACTCAGAGTTCTTTCATCGAGTGCACCGCAATCAGCGCAAGATGTTCACAATTTCAGCGAAAGAACCCCGACCCTTTTGCGCCGTATGGTGGCAAGGGACATTGTGCAGGTTCTTCCTGGCGTTGTAGTAGTGGACAACGGCTTTGTCTTTCCACTTGATGAACGGCTTCGTCAGTTTCTCAAGAATCCAGAAAATCTCGAGCCCATACTGGCATCTTCACCATCAGGTCATCTCGCCCTTTCTTGTTTTCTGCAGATTAAGTACGAACTTCTGAGACAAACTGACACCGGTGCCACGGAGGTTGATGGGAAAACAATGGTACGGCAAAGCTCACTGGCACCGTATGCATTTGCGTCATGGGCAACACATTACTCGGACTCCTTCACGCCAGACTCCAGCAGCAACGTTCACCACGACGCTATACTGGCAGCAAATGGTACTACTTCCCTTGAAAGTCTCATAGTAGGATTTCTCAACAACTCGGCGGAGGAAGAGAAATGGCTCAAACTTGTCAGGTTTTCGGCCGCTAAATTGTCAAACGGAAAGGTGGTCGGTGGTCTTGCACCTGAGTCCGATGCCCTGCCGGGCATAGTTCAATCCCAACTCAGCCTTTCGCACCGACAGGCCGCCTGCCTCTCTACGATCCTCGCCACTCGATTGGACACTTGGAACAGTGCCTACGACAGCTTGTTACTGAAAGCAATCGATGAAGGCGACCGTTCTCTGTATGAAGCTCTTTGCAAACTGCCCAAGAGAATATGCCACACCTACAAGACGGAGACTATTGCGCGAGCCCTCTTAGAACCGTCGCCACACACGAATGTTTTGTTTGATGGAAAGTTACAGGATCTTTTCACTTCGCTTCCCCCAAGCATGACTCTCTACAGCATTGCTTCCAGGAACCCAGAAATCATTGACTCCATCCTCACCGATTTGGGGAGAACTCAGCACGCTCGCTACCTGTTACATAGGGCGAGTCGGCTTGGAGATTTGCCAATTGTTAAGAAAGTCCTGACAGGAGTCGGTGACAGTGTAGATGATGGCATCAGTACTGGAGGACTGTCTCTGAAGAGTGAATCGCTCCTCCTGGCTGCAGTTTCAGGGCAACTGGAGGTTGTCCAAAAGGCATTGGAGCTTGGTGCTCGTATCAATTGTTGTGCTGAGTCAGGATTGACCGCATTAATGTTGGCCTCCATGAATGGGTTCACAACAATAGTGCGCCTGCTCCTCACCAAGGAAGAACTTGATATCAACGCAAAACACCATGTCACAGGCAATTCTGCTCTCCATCTAGCTAGCCGCGGCGGCTCCATCAAGACAGTCAGACTTCTCTTAGAACATCACGCCGATCCCCTCATGGAGAACTCCAGTGGCTTTCTACCTTTACATCTCGCAATTGCCCAGGGCCATTCCGAGGTAGCAAGTTTTCTCGTGGACAGAATGGAAGGACAGGTAACATACACGACAGTGCCCTTACGAGAACCCATATATCGCGAGTCAAAGACGGCCACCCGCCGCCCCCGAGATTATGATTCGGACGGTACAGACACGGACAGTTACCCAGAAACGGAGTCAGATAGCGATTCGGATTCGGATACAGAACAACCTGCAACCAAGAATGATTCCAGCGGCGGAAGGGCAGAGGAACCAGTGAGGCTTTTCTGTCCATTCAACACCGCCGCGACCTCTGGGATGACTGCCTTGCTCTTGGCCGCACGCCGATGTTATGCACCGATATGCAAGGCTATGATAGCAAAGCATGCCGATGTAAACCTCGTGGATAGCTCGAAAAGGTCGGCTTTGCACCATGCAGCAGAGATTGGCTCAGAAGACTTGGTGAGGCTTCTCCTGGAAGAACGAGCGGATCCCTCTCTTGAGAGCAACTCGGGCCAGATTGCTCTGGATTATGCCTCCCTTTATGGACATGATGGTGTTGTACGGCTGCTCTTGGAACATGACAATGATTTGATCAAGAGACTGGATGAGGACGATGAATCACCTCCTCTTAACGCAGCGTTATCGCCCTGCCAGACTCACGTTGTGTGTACTCTGGTTAAGGCATTCTTGAAGAACGGTATTACCCATTCAGGCCTGACATTAGGGCTGCAAAGAGCAGTAAGGATGCAGAACACATCTGTGGTGGAATTATTGTTGGACAACGGCGTTGACATCAATGCTGTCGACCAATACAAGAACACTGCATTGCATTTCGCGGCTTTTGGTGATCGAGTCAACATGGCAAAGCTCCTTGTGATGAGGAACGCCCGTCTTGACTGTCCGGATAATGGGGGCTTTACACCTCTCATGGATGCCGCCCGCACGGGTTCTCTTTCATCGATGAAGGTCTTGATCGATGCGGGGGCCAACCTAGAGGCACTGAATGACTCTGGATTATCTGCGCTTGATCTGGCGATCAAGAACAAAAAAGTGAAGTGTGGACAATTGCTGCTGGCTAAACTCGCTCAACACAGTTCGGCTTGGATGACCCCGTCGAACAAGAACCTAAGACAGTACTTACGTTTCGCCATCAAAAGTTTAAATACCAACATCGCCATGACTATCCTCCTTGAAGTGATAGGAAAGGAGTCAGAGAGTGGCTTCCGGCCGTCAAGTAAGGAGTTGATCTCTTCGCTGCTCTGGAAAAAGTGGAGTTCGGTACTTGAATTAGTTTTGGCTCATTGGGACGTTTCAAGCCTTCATCTCGGTGTGTACGGGACGGCTCTGCATTACGCTGCTATGCGTCACCAATCTCCTGTTGTCGAACAGATATTGAAGCACCCCAAGCATCCCATCAAATTTGACACGAAAGCCGGTATATATGGGACACCGCTTCAAGCCGCAATTGCCAGTCAGCCAAAAGCGCAGAGAGCGCGTGAATGTTTGGCCACGATAGAACTTCTCCTAAGTCAAGGCGCTGACCCTACCATCGTAGGTGAGGGAATTACCGGTGCGCTGCAGGCGGCAGCCTATAACAGGCACCGCGTGGTTGTCAAAATTCTTTTGGAGAAGCTGGGTCGGAAGGATGTGCTGCGAACTGGTGGACAATTTGGAACAGTCCTCCAGGCCCTCATATCTGGTCCCAAAGAAGACGATGATGAGGTGGGTGAGCTTTTCCATCTTCTCATCAAGCATGGGGAGTCAGTTATGCGAAAAGGAGGGAGTCAGGACTTGACTGCCCTCCACCGAGCTGCCCGGTTTGCATCGTTACCGATAGTGAAACTGGTGAGGGAGCAGCCGGACGTCCACATCGATCAACCCGACCGTATGGGCTGCTTACCCATCCATCATGCTGTGCGACAACAGCGTTCTCGATTGGACATTGTCCGAGCCTTGGATCCGCACTTGGAAACACTATGGAAGTCTGACCACCTCAAGAGATCTATCTTGCATATGGCGGCCGCGGCAGGAGCTTTGGACGTTGTCGAGGAGGTCCTGCACGTTGCGAGCCAAACTGAACCTGCAGGCGATATCGTCAAACTCGTGAATGAGCCAGATGTTGACGGCTGGACTCCATTACATTGGGCCTGTAGGTCCCATGCATATTACGCCGACGATGTCCTAAAGCTTTTGCTTAAGAACGGCGCCGACAAGACTAAGACAACTAAGAAAGGGTGGTTGCCGCGCCATGTTGCAATCTTTCACGGTTCCAGGGGCTTATTACCTTTTCTTGGAGGCGAAAGAGAAGAAGAAGGGGACAGCGAGGAATCCGAGGATAGTGATCACAGCACACGCGGGAGTGACAGGGGGGAACTGCCCACCCAAAAGGCGGAGAACACACACACTAGTTGTGACAGTTGCTTATGTGTAGGTCACCAAACCTATATGCTCGATCATCCTCAAGCTGACACACTGCTTTTACAGTCTAACTACGGGGACGCTTGGCATTGCACTACATGCACCAATGAATGTCCTCAAGATGAGTTTGACTTGTGCTTCAAGTGCTTTCCACACAGAGCCATTGTCCATCCGCCCAGCCATGTCTTCGAGTCGCTGACGGATGGGTGGTATTGGTCATATCACCAAGAAAGGCGCGTTGCCCTTGGCTTGGGACACGACGCCGGATCTGATTCCGATTCTGATTTTTCTGATTCTTCTGATTCCTCTGGTTCCGATTCCAATTAATGCTGACAGTGAGGTGAGGGTGTGACGGGCTGGTCAAAACCTGTTGCTACACTGGCGGCATGCTCAAGCTAGAACGATATTACTCCTTCCCTAAGGAGTAGGGGGAGGGGATATATGGATCGCGTTTTGCTTTTAGGAACAGTTATTGTTGAACATTTCATTCTTATATAACATATGCAGAGTAATGTAGTAGGTATTTATACAGCGAGCGTCTCTCCAGTGAATGAGATTATCTGTCTGGGCGCTTCCTAATGCTCGGGCGAAGATAACAATGAAAAATAATGTAAGTGAATGGAAGATATCTGAGAAGAGGCACCTGCCCTGATTTTGGGAAGATACATTATAAGGCTTGAAGGGTCAGGGTGAAATTGCTCAAAGAGTAGGTAGGTATCTCTGAAAAGTCGGGCTCGCATACTCGTAGCCAAGGCTCCGGCCGTAGAGCCAAAAAGAAAAGGAAATGGAGCTTGGGAAAGAAAATGGAAACGAGCAAAACCAAGGAGGTCAGGAAAAGCGATGCGAGCTAAAACGATGCAGGCACCTTCATCACGTAAGATGGCCGAAATCCGGGGCCGACGTCGAGGATTAGTAAGTCGATGACTGTGATGTCGAGATGAGGATGCGTCCACTAAGACGAACCTCACTAGCAATTGGAGCTGCCCCACTCTTTCAGCCGTTATTCATCAAAGGATGACTCCAATTCTCCTCGAGACATAAAATCGCAACATCCTAACAGTGACGTTGAGGTCTCTCCCAATCATCCAAACATCAATATCACCAAAAGATACCAGAGCCCTCAAGTCCCCAGTCTCAGTTCACCCACTCCTCATCCAGACACAGCGCACTCGCGCACCAAAGAAACAACAACAAAACATCCAAGATGACCTCCTCCGAACCCATCACCCTCACCTACCTAACCGTCGACGTCTTCACCTCCACGCGCTACCTCGGCAACCCCCTCGCGGTCGTCCTCATCCCCGCCTCCCTCCGCCCCCATCTCACACAAGACGTCAAGCAGCGCATCGCCCGCGAATTCAACTTCTCCGAGACCGTCTTCCTGCACACGCTGGACGACGAAGCGCGTGATGGTTTGTCTGTTACAAGCCGGGAGATCGACATCTTCACCATCGAGGAGGAACTCCCCTTTGCCGGCCACCCTACGGTGGGAACAGCGTACTTAGTGCTGAACCATTTGGGCTGGAAGCACGTCGATACGCTTGTTACCAAGGCGGGGCCGATTGCTATTAGACCGCTGGAGGGAGAGGGGGAGAGGGTCAAGGCTACTATTCCGCATGCTGTGCATGTTCATTCGCAGACGCTTGGCGGGATCTTGGGGAGCGGGGAGGTGAAGCCGGAGACGGAGACCATGATCAAAGCTTCGCTGTCCGATGACCCCTATGCTATCTACCCGCCAACACATTACGGCCCTTCCGGGCCTTATCCTTTCCTCCTCTTCGGCTCACTGAATGAGGTACCTGGAGTGACCGCCTGCTGCCCAGCATTGCTCGACTGGCTGCCCCGCTCGTCAGGCAGAGAAGCGCTGCATCAAGTTCCCCAAATCCTGGGAAAGCCCGGTCGCCTCGGAAAGCGGTGGGACATCAAAGTTCAAGCGCTGCGAAGAACAAGTACCTTGATAATTTGATGCCGGTGAGGGGAGCGCCCTTTGGGCCGCTGTTTGAGCTCGAGTGTGGGCCATGGCTCGTCGAACGCCGCCTATTCTACAAGCATCTTCCTTTTCGCAGCCCTAACCAACTCCCCCGTATGCAACTCTCAGCCAATCGATAAGAGTTGCGCCATATCCTGCTGCCTGAATGGGACGGCCTAATCTACCCACTCAGCGGCGGCGTTGATGAGCGACATCAAGACCGCGCTCGACGAGATCGAGACAGCAGCATCGAAGGCTCTCCGAAAAACAATGCCGGTCTGGCGCACAGTCCCCAAGCTTGACCTCTTCTGGTTGGCCGGCATCGCCCCACCCGAAATTATCAGACGAGAAACGGCCCGGGCCGCGGCAGGGCTCCATACCCTCCGGCCCATCACCCGCTCACCCAACGCTTGCGCACGCCCCCACCGCGCGGCTGGTCCCATCTCCACTCCCTCACCGAATCCTAAGCCCCCCCCCCCCCGGATAAAAACACACCGGAGGAAACGTGGCTCCCCCGCCTCCCCGGCCTCCGGAGATGGCTCGCCCCCGACTCGGCAGTACCACCCCGACGCCGGAAAATGTGGACCCTCCCCTCCGAAGCGGACCCGGAGCTCCACTGGCTCACGCACCGACCGGCATGCCTGGCTGATCTACCCTGTGGTATTAGATGTAAGGGGACCTTGTATAAAAATCGTAAGCAAAATAGTAAGGGAAACGGGTAAAAGTTCTTACTATTAATTTTATTTTCACCGCCGATTCGCAGCGCATAGGGGCGGAGAGTGTTTCTGTTCCCCGCTACCAACCATGTCCGGTTCCAAAGTTCCAGAAATTTGGAGTACTTTAAGGGAAAGATAGGCTTTTGCTGCATCTCATCCTTCCACCTAAGTTCAATGCAATCAACATCTTCCAAGTTTGGACGCTGAAGTAGTTCGTCGAAGGACGAAAACTCTATTTCGAAGGCATTATCATATAGAGCTTGAATAGCTACAAATGTAATTAAACAAAAGATCTAGCATGGTACTATAGCAATAGGAAAGGTCACTCTAGAAAAGTGTTAGTTTGAATCAACGGTTAAAGGCAAGAATACATATACATCTGCCCCCTTATCAATTTTATTAGCCGATAGCTTATTTTGATTGATCGTAATCTGAGTAGTAAGCCTTGACTGCTTTGTATCCGGATCGCGAACGACAAGTAGCTTGACTTGTTGATAAAGCATATTCTCATAAGTGCTGGGCTGAAAACTAATGCCTCCTATAAGCACCAATGTATGAAAGGCAAGCCGATGTCTAGGATCACAAGGTATATCGACTGCGCGTTCCCACAAAGTGCTAAGAATAAGTAGAATATCGTTTGTTGTAGCTTCGGTTTTCTCAAATGTTTATTTGCATGTGAGGTTGAACTTTTGTGCAAGAGTTAATTGGATCCACTGTGAGAAGAAATGTTAGTATACAGTATCAGTATAGGTAAGGAGGGAATCTACCTGGATAATCTCTCTACGGGCCTTCCTACGGTTGCCAAGTAATGTCCATTGTTCGGAATCTTCGTCTGAATCTTTATTTGAATCTGGATCCCTTCTCTTCGCGAGCACTACAGCATCAGCTTGAGCTACTATATACTTCCATACAGTAATAATAGTTACTGTTGATTGAACTGATTGTACCTGCTTCTGTTCTTCGGTCCCGTCTATACACAGACGCCTGCATCTTGCATAGCGTGTATAGTCGGCCAGAAAGCTCTTGCAGATAGTAATAGACTTTTTCTTATTTCGGCACACACCAAACCAAACCTCATCAGCCTCTTTTTATATTAATTTAAACACATCTATAACGAATCTAAAAAGAATTAGTACGCAATATCAAAGAAATAGAAAAAATGATAAGGTATATACCTATTCCATAGACACTACGCGCGTTCTTGCTCGGTTTTGGTCTTCTTACAAAGCGAACGCTCATGTATTATTACCGTAAATTCGTCGACGTCGGCAAATGCTCTTCTTTTCCGTTCTTCGACGTCGCGTTCAGTCGGCGTTATCGGCGGTTTTCGTAGCTCCATCCCTTCCGTATTGCATAGGGATGGAGTGCGATCAGCACCATGAGACTCAAAACAATACCCTCTCAAGCTGCAATAGCTTACGAGCTCAGTATGTTTGGGAGGAGAAATCCATTAGAAAACTCGGAAGGAGGGTTTCATATGAAAACAACGCAATCCTCACAAGGTAGGGGCCGTAATTCATGCGGTAGAATCAACCGGGAAGAATTGATAAATAATGAATGCAATGAGAATGGACAGAAGTGTGCTTGTTTGGTTCAGTCAGGAATCTGAGGGTAAAGACGCAATATATATCTTGAGGCCCTCTAACTCGCCTGAAGTGATATACGTACGGAGAAAAGTGGTTACCAAAGCCAACCACACCTCCCAAAAGCCAACCACGCTTCCCAAAAGCTAACCACGCTTCCCAAAAGCTAACCACACCTCCCAGTTAGAAGTATTAAGTATATGGAGTAGGTGTCAGGGGTAAATGGCAGGGGTAAGTACCTTGTGTAGTGTATGCCTAGCCCACTCGGCTGGGCTTGGCGTAAGTGGAACGGTGCACTCGATGGCGAAGGCAATGAAAACGGTTGCAAGAAACGGCGGCGGCGTTTTTAGCTGAGTCATCCAAACCCCTGTAAAAACCTCCTCCCATAGACATGCTTCCGATTGGTAGCTTATCTATGGGAGAGCGGACGGGATCCCGAGTTTTCTACCATCTATGGTCGTATGTGATTGAATTACTTTGTTTATTTGGCTATATTGTTATATGCACAAGAAGAGGTATGATTATAGTGGTGGTGGTTATGCTGATGTTGGTGTTGGTGATGGTGATATTGAGGATTTTGAAGTTTTATACGCGAAAGACAGAGACTAGAGGTGGAATTTGAGTCACATTTACGGAGCACAATCGGCCTGCTATAGACTTTCGGAGGTTGTAAATGTGTATGTGACTATGTGAGGTGTGAACCAAAACTTCAGACACCTTGTCTGTTTGCGTGCGTATCTTGAGTCGTGGTGTTTCGGTCTGTTATTGATGGAATCGTATACATCTGCGATCCTAAAGTTGGCGAAAAGGTAAATTATCATATATACCAACTATGTTTGATGAAACGTGACTTTAACATTACCACTATTGTTCTTCCTTCTTCTTCCATCTCGAAGTTCTTCATCCCGTTTTCTCCTACCGAAGCTGCACGCCCAGTCTGAGCCCTTATCTGCCTGATTCTCAACCTCCTTCAGTTGGTCCATTGATGTAGGGAACTTCTCCGACACTTTCAAGCGCAGAGCGAGGCTTTGGATTAACGAATCCCGGAAACCTTTCATCTCGAGTCCATGTAGCTGACCACAAAATACGCCTGTGTAGCACGCAGTTACGAATTGTAGAGTTATACCGGCTTGAGGCAAAAAGAAGTACATGTACCGCACTCTTGATCCTTGGATACCCCTTTTAGAATTGTTGATTTTTTTGTCAGTATAAACGAGGGACACCGGAAGTTAATAAAGAGTGATTGTAGTTGATGAATTTAGAAACTGCACTGTTTCTTTTCGGTCTGCTGACACTCTTTCACTACCAGCCATATAGCTGGGGCCTCGATCGTTAGCATTCTTCGGCAGACCCAAGCGTGCCTGATCCAGGTGATCGAGATAACGTCTTGTCAGATATAAGAGGGATTCCATACGAATGTCGTGTCCACGTCCAGACCCCACGTAAAATAATCATCCGGATCCGTATACTGGGAAGAAAGGCTATCGCTTACGGTTCTCAATCCGGACATAGAGGGCGTACGGGCTCTGACAAGGCTCTGAGGTGCTGTAACAAATGTTGCACACGGCCGAAGAATTAAATATCGTGGAAGTGCATTTGCTTGAATCACCGTTGTGTAATAAAGTCGGAGTGGATGGGTTTTCATAAATCTGGTGATTCACCCATACCTTCATAAACTACTCTGCTCAATCTTTCCGGCGGCGCTAAGCTTTGCCAGACGCTGAATTCCAAGTCATCATGCTCGGCAGACCAATTAGCAGGTGTAAGGATAACTTGTTAGAGGTCCCTCGGAAACCAGCATATAACCCAACCGTAGATCCCGCATTCTTGCACAGAGCAACATCTCGTCTTTTCCTAGGGCATATGGTCGTTCATCGTCTACACTCCCAACCGAGGCATACCATGTTCGAATAACTAGCCCGCAAAGGCTATGGCTGTGCTTTGACTTGCAATGTACCGGGGGAAAAGGAAAACAAAATCTCTGAGTCCTAGAGGTAGTCAATGCTTTTGGGGGCTTCTAGAGGACGCTATTCAAGAGCTGGTCACTGTTGGCGTCATCCAAGCGACTACGTTTAGGCTTCGCCAGCTTGATGAATGAGTGTCAACGGATCTTCTCGTTGTCGCCCTGGCGGCTGTTGAATAGAAAACAGGGAATGCGGTGATTCATATTGCCAATACAACCACCAAATATATCGATGTCAGTATCAGACTATCTGCTAAATATCCACCATTACGTGAAGCGTGTGGGATGAGGGCTATCTGCAATTATGGTGTATCATGCCTGTTTGACCAACCTTAGCGGTTTACTTCATCATGGAACTGGCAATAAAGCCTCCTGCGACAAATGTGTAAATGGTAGGTAGGTTCCTGGTTTTGAAATGCCGACCGCAAACGGACCGAAACCTAGAGGTAGCAACCCGACACCCACAGAGTGAACTCCGAAAAAAATGAGAAACTCTTGGGGACGCCGCTCTTGGCTGAGCCCGTGCTATTCATTGTTGACAAAAAGCTGCACCTGGCTGTCGTATGTTCATCTGATACCTCACCCCATAAACATCACCCTACAGCCATATGCGATGCAAGCTGGGACAAGACAAGGAAGTGGTTGGCGCAATGAGACACTTCCAGTTCCTGCAATGAGCTGATATGGTACTTAAAAAATCTTGTCTCACACGGGACCGCTATTGCATGCAAGAGCTCATCGTCTGTAGGATGAGTGGAAATTATGCGAGGAAGCCAATAGCAACACGATGGATGTTAGTTCGCCCGTGGAGGGGTCATATATAGAAAAAAAAATGAACCTTGTGATTCATGGTTACAGGCTTGCCCAACTTGGCTTGACCTGAAATCATAAACTTGACTTGTTTGGTAACTAAGGCCTTGGAGGGAATGTGTGACGAGATAGGCTGTCATCCTCAGTTCAGTGTGTGCTGAGTTCGCAAGTTCTCCTGTAATGCAATATCGAAAGTGTTGAGGACTTCTGAGCGTTAACGGGGAGCGAGGTAGATAGGCCCTTGTACAGCATATTCGTAGAAGGTACTCTTAACTCCGGAGACATCGCCAATGAATGTTATCCAAGATCTTTCTCCATCCCACCATCTTCCCTAGTGGTAACCGGGAAATAGCCGCCATCTAGCGGCCCATCCTCACCCAGTCATGCTCGCTCAATGATAAAGACGTAATTGTAAGAACAACGGACATGACTGTCCAATTTGGAATAAGCAGAGTAAATCAAGAGAGAAAGTGAGGCGTGCGGAATCATTGGCCTACAGGGATCAAGTTTGTAAGATTAGAGGTAAGCAAGTCACTGAGCTGAGAATGTGCCTTGCCCCGTGTTTCGGTCGCTGTACTTACATTGATTGTCCTTATGGGGCTGAAAAAGAAAAGAGAGAAAAAGATCCGGAAGCGCAGATCTTTATCCCGTGAAAGAAAAACGGGGTTGAGAGGGCGGGACCCAACAGGGGCAATCTTGCTGTGCTCTTTCGCCTGAGTTGGCTTCAAAATTGGTAGGAATTTGTCGGTCTTTCGTTCTTTATCCCCGTGCCCCTGTTTCCCGCTCTCTGCCATGGCTACTAGACGAACTCAACGGAGTAGCGTGCTGTCGCTCCCTGGTGAGACAAGACGGTGGCCCGTGGAATTCAGAGTTGAGACTAGGCGATGTTTACACCGAAGCGTTGCCAGATTCGGCGCTTTTCGCAGATAAATGAACGACGGTGTAAGTACAAAAAGGTAGGGTACGGCTGTGGAGGCCAAGTGCTGTTCCTCAACTTCAATGCACGCTCTTCTGCCCCCTTGAACCCGCCAAGCCTTTCCATCTTGCGTCTGACGCGCACCCGGATGACAGGCCTATGCATCCGCGGCTCCTCTGAACCAGACTGTCGGTGCCGGCCATATCCCCCAGTCTTGCGGCCACTGACCGTATCAGTAAACAAGGGTCGGATCACGGGCAGAAGACTGATTGGGGAACAGATAGTAAGAGGGGCCGAGTGACATCTTGGAAGAGGGAAGAATTGATAGCCAACAGCTAGACCAAGCCATACACTTCAGCGAGGTGCGGTGTGGAGAGCACACTACGCTCGAAGATTGGATATTTGAAAGGGAGATCTGGCATCTGAGAAAGGAGGAGGGGGAAGTGAAGGGGGGATTGCATTCAACGATCCCTGCTTTCGACCGGCTCCTATACGTTTCGTCCATCGAAGAGGGCAGAATAACATGAAGGGACATTGATCGTATAGAGTGAAAACCATCAAGGTGCTTTTACTTGAGCACCATCTGCCGGGCTTGGTTTCTTGCACCTCACTAAAGGGGGATTAGTGAAAGGCCTAGTCAGGGACAGGCAAAGGACGTAAAAAGAGGATTGTGGATTTCGATGACAAAAAGCTGACAACGAACAGGCAGAATTATTATTCATCCTCATGCGCGCAACAAATCGCAGGAGAGGCAAAAGAAAAAGATCGATCCACCCAGGGGTCGAACCTGGAACCTCCTGATTCGTAGTCAGACGCTCTGCCATTGAGCCAGCGGACCTTGTGTTGTTGGAAAACGGGCTTGTATGAGGTTCTTTTCAATGTTGTGGGAAACCCATAGTCTCGAAGTGGGGGCACAATTCTTTTTGTGGGCACCGCGGTCCGTCAAAAGCCAAAAACCCCACACTGCAAGACCCTGGATCCGCTCCGCTGCCCGAACCACCGAAGATGCCGGATCCCCGGGTGTTGGCCAGGTCAGAGAGAGATGCTCGGCATGATCCAGCAACCGATATCGACCCGACATTGCCTTCCTCGTATTCTTAATACCTAGTTCACCGGAATATACGCATGTATGTTCCCAAACGAGAAGGCGGATGAGGTTCAACATTGACCGGCGCGTTGACGTGCTTCGCATGACCAGCAAGCGTTGTCGCCAATGCATGGAATGGCGACAAAGGAGCCAACAAGACCGAGGAAGTCCGAGACATGTCTTATTTCCCCACGGATGGACGACGGGCTGCTCCACCATGACCGGGGTATGATTGCGTGTTTCCGGTCAATGACCCATCACGGTCAATGGTATATCTCTTATAGGATGGCCGTTCCACTCATACCAGCACTCGCTTCAGGAAGGTGTGTCTGTCAAGAGCAATGCTGTTGGCGACAAAACCAACAGTGACTTGAAAAGCCATAACGAAAATTTGATCTGCATGATCACGAGTTTCATTGTGTACTTCCCGAGACGAGGAAGTCGGCGACCATAATCGCCGGTCTTCGCCGATTTCAGGTTCGCTAGGTTCATGTTTGTGAAAACGGGAGCGCCGAGTAACTCCATCCCCCATTATAAGGCGCGCGAGGACAAGTGTAGAGAGTTGTGTCCCCGGAGGAGATTAGACAACGCTTCAGGAAAACGAGACCTGCCTACCCATCAAGGTTCGGAAAACATCATCCAGCACTTTGCGCTTCTTCACTCGAGCTCCAGTGGCCTCTTCGATACTGGTGCTTTCATCTTCCTTGTCAAGGGCCTCTAGCTGGGGTGTCCAGGCACGGATATGTCCGTCGGAATGTCCACTGCAGATGCCATCAGCGACATTGGCTCAGTTCCTCTCCAGACGACTATTACCAACATTAGCATATACCAAGCGAAAGGGGCACTGGTTACTTGATACGTACTGCTGGAGAGAAAGTTTCTGGTCGTTCGTTCTCCCCTCTGTGCACGGATACTCGTCGAGTCACTAGTCAGACTGTCGATTTTGTAGACCTGACGAGTAGCTGCCACAGCAGGACCCATGCCGCGTAGCCTGATAATAAGGGTACCCTCATGTAAACCTGTAACCAGCATCCCATTCTTATTCGGATAGAACAAAAACTCCTTCTTTCGTGGAGTAAGTCGTGAAGGCGAGACAAACATTGTCATATGTCCATTGTAATCATTTCGGATGGTTGTGGCCAGAGCTCGCCAAAGTGTTCGCCCCTGTAGCGGTATCCCAAACACAAAATTGGCGATTGTGACCTGCAGACACAATGTACGCACCGTCATCTGTCCAGGTCAAACCGTTTACTGGCCCGTTGTGCACCTTCGCTAAGGCACAGATACCCAAATCTCAAAGAATCCTGATATAAGGCACGCTGAACATGGCCTGAACTGTCCATTCTACTAGGGTATATAACTCCTAGGCGGTCCTCTTAGTCCAAAAGGCCAATGAGCGTACTGTGCCGCCTGATATTCCAGAGACGCGCGACACCATCGGCTGATCCGCTGGCCACAATATGGTCATGAACAAGTGACCAGGTCACAGCCAGGTTCGCAGCAGCAGAGCCATTTATCTGGCCATGAGAGACAAGAGACTGGACGGCAGCCGAAGAAGGCAGGTCGACGAGCCGGGCGCCCAAACGCTGTGTTCCGCAAGCAACAAGCAGATGAAAGGCGATGGGTGAGGTGGCGTGTGAAGAAACCTTTGCACCCAGCTCAAACGTGCCAACCAAGCGTGCCGTATTTGTAGACCAGTCTGCTCCAGGGCAATTAGCAAGGAGCCAGGAGTAGACGAACAAACGCCCAAGCGGTACCTACATTCTCCCTTCGAGCCCTTTGAGAACCAAAGCACTTACGTGGTCCGGCTTGATGAGCCCAGAGGAACGCCGGTTGAAGAGTGGATTCCGGGTTGGTGACCCGCCCGAGCCCGCCGACCCGTACCCCAGCCAGCAAGCGAGGTTGCCGTCCGCTCTCCGCCATCAAAGCGGAACCGTGGAGCAGAGCGAAAGAAATGTGCTAAGTTGATGATCGGCCTTCATGTTGATGGTGACAGCCAAGACGCGGTGTCAGGACGGATCGGGTTTAAATAGCGTGGACCATGACGTGCAAGGGCAGTCTATGCAGGATAGAGGTCTCATGGCGGGCTTGGGCTGATGAACTAGCGACCGGATGGAGGACCGTACCCAGACTGTCGGATGCCTTGGCTTTCGTCGGATTGCAACCCATTTTGCTACATTACAGACGGGGAAGCATCATCACCTCGAGTGGCAGAGGGAGGGTGAAAACAGCTATTCCATTAGGCGGGCCGAAAATATCGATAATATCTTTTGTGCTGCTTGGATGGACACTGCATTGAGTGAGGATGAATGAGGAAAGATTGAGTGAGCCACCAAGCCGACGTTGTTGCTTTTCCGTGATGCGACGTTGTTTCCAGTCCCTTGAGGTTCATCTCACCGCTGGAATGCCGCTGCACAGAACAGGAAGCTTGCACCTGCAGTGACGGGAGTGAGCGGGGCCACTGCGGTTGAACGCGGGGTCCTTTGGCGTGTTGGATGCAAAAACACGGGCCACCCAGGGGCAGGGGCAGTACGTAGGGACAATTCCAACCGAATTCCCCGCCCATTGCCTGCCGGGCAGTCCCGTCTTGAACCTTTTTGTCGTCGGTAGAGGTACGACCACCGTCTTTCTCTAGCCACCAAGGAGGAAACAGACTGGATTTTTTTGATGCTTCAATATTTCCTTGATCAACTAAAGTCAAGAATTTACCTATATTCTCACTTTCTCAGAGCGGGACCGATAGAGAAATCCGTGTAGCTCCTTCTTCTGGTTGAAATGGGGAGCAGTGTTTCGGGCAGAACACAAAACTTTCCTGTTACGCGCCGTCGTCCCGCTGGCTGAAGGGAACGAAAGTTTCGAAATACTCTTCCACTTTCCTCAGTTGCCAATCTCACAGCGGGAAATCACATCCATATCACCCCATATCTACCACTTCTTTCCAACATGACCTCGTCACCAGCCCCCAGTGACTATTCCGACGAGGAACTACGCCCGTCGAGAAAAGAGAGTCGAGGACGTGAACTGAACGTCTACGATGCCGTTGCCGGTATGTTCGTCGCCTCGTCTTTTTGATGTCGCCTTTGCCCGAAATCTGTGTGAACTTTGTCATCTAACTCCCTTCCAGGTAACGTGACCTTGAACGACCGATCTCAATCAGGTGCTTCACGCCGAAACGACTCCTCAAGTAAACGACCAAATCGGTCCTCTGGGCTGCACTCTTCCCGCGACCCCAGGTACGCGCCTGAGGAAGTCCTCTTCCGCCGCAAGGGCGCACCTGTTCGCTATGAAGAGAATGACATCTACTGGGCCAGCGAGCATCTACCCGACGGCGGACATCATCTTCTCCCTGACAGCGACCTCTTAAAGTCCATCCATGGGTACACCAGCAACTACTACGACGCAATGGCCCTTCGCCTCGGTCCGCGTTGTGTCATTGGCTCTCGAACCATTGATGAGAGGAGCATGGATGAAACCGCTCTACTTGCCTTTGGCATCCTACTTGAAGAAGCAAGTCGCGAGGCTATGGGGAAGAGAGGGGACCTCGTTCTGACTGAGCCATTCACGGAGTCCAAGTTGCCACTTGCTGATGAACGGACTCTCGACACCCCTGCTGTTGTCGATCAACAACCAGTCGCGGATGGTGACCAAGGAGCGACTCCGGAAAAAAAGCGGCGAAAGAAGAAAAGGAAGATCCGACGTGACGACGATGTTACAGCAGCCGAAATATGACCCGGCTATCCCTCGCACCCGAGACAAAATGTTCCTCGGTATACGCATCACACGAGCCTCAGCGCCAGCTTGGCAACAATGGGGTGCCAGTCCCCGACTTCGGGCTTTATCACACACAACGTTGCTGCCTTCATCACATCTGGGCAATCGTTAGTTGACGAGTAAGGTTGCCTCAACGTGTGCGATTGTCAATAGCCGGCCCCTATCTACAAGCTTGAGGCCTTGCTATAACGTGGTTGCTTACCAGGTGGTCGTGATTTTCGCTTCTGTCCCCGAATCAACTCGAGGGTACGTTTCAAGACCCTGCCATCTCCAGACGAGGGCCCCGCAAAATGTTATGCATCGGAATAAAGGTCTTTGGCGATCTTGGTTAGGATGTGTGTTCGAGCGCAACCACCACACTTCTGCTATGATTCGAAAAGGGCGAAGGCTTTGGAACAACTGTGATGCAGAGCTGGCTGAATAAAATTACCAAAAAAAAAAAAAAAAAAAAGAGAATGCTCTAGGATCATGGGGCCGCCCTCGCTCAACAAGCACAGTATATACTGACATGCATAACCCCGATATAAATAATCCCGCCTTTCCAGTGGTTATGACCTCTCCATGGATAAAATACGTACCTGCCGCACTATACATTACACAGCCTAGTACTAAAATCGACTGTGTTCCGTGCGTATCAAGCAGCGTCGCGCGCCGACCGACTTTCCTGCTGGTTTGAGGAGCAGCTCTTCTCCAGTTCTGTGAGATTATTGGTTCATGGTCACAGAAAGAAGTTCACCAGAAGCAACGTCTGGACAAAAATGGTAATAGAACGACAAATATCATAGTTGCAACATAAGAAATTACTCGTTTTCAACTCTTATGTCATCTACAATCCCGTTACGAACAATCCAATAAGGAATCAAGTGTTATGCTGTGTGTGACCCAGGTTATCTCTCACCCACAGAAGAACAGACGTCAGCGCTCGTTGAATATCACGGGAGATCGCAACATACCCGCTAGGCTAGTAAGTGCCGAATGAAACACAAATTGCAGTGGATTTATGACATGCAACGCAAGCTCACGTATTTTTCTGATAGTCACATTGTCATCCTTTTGGCGATCATGTGTTTCTCAGGGATTCCTCGAGGATGTACACTATGTCAATTCTCGTTGCTTGACTCCCAAATCTTCCGCCGCTAGGGCCGACAGACGCCGACTCTGTAGTGCCACTCGAGTTCACCACCCGCCTAACAATGAAATTCTACGTTACGTTTACCGTCTTTAAACCTACCTATACTTAGTTACATACCTGAAGGGGGCATCCATTTCTATCACCCAACAACCGAGATGGTTGAGACATTTCCCCACAATAGGCCAGCGGTAGGCGTTCTTGGAGCTGAACTGAGATCCCCGTGTTCCGGGTCGTTTACGAGGAAGCCACGAGAGCCACGAAAGTTGACAAGGGGAATTATTATAGTTTGGGATGTCGATCACGATCCGGACCCCCCTCCATTGGTCCTACACGTAAGGTAAGTGGTCAGCAACACTGGCACGCTGGGCTTACAAGGCTCATCTGGGAAAATTGATAGGTTCAAACGAGTGTACCAAACTAAGTCTCCTTCTTTCTCCTTCCTGCCCACCAAGACACTGATATAGCGCATATAGCGCATTAATAGGTATGGGAGCATGGGGAAAGGGAAGAGAAAGGAGGAAGGTGTGAGGAAACACCTCTGCTCCACACCTCTGCATGGATTCAAAAGGGTAGCGCGCAGGCGCGGCATAACTTGACTACAGGACACAGGGAGCAGTCACACGGCAAACTAGTTATTTCTTGTGACAGAATCAAGGTTCTTTGCGACTCGTGAAAACCGCGCTACGCGTTTATATCCATCTACAGGTAAACACAGCACAGCACTACACTATTTTACTCGAGCCGGATAAATCGACTGTAAGAGGTCATACAAGCTTCCAAGCTCAAGCCAAAAACCCCAGGCTTGGCATCAACTTAAGGCGCCAGCAACCAACAATTCTTACTAAATGTCATTGTTTCACATCATGATCAACATCGAAAGTTCAGAACAACCTGTTTTCAATACGTTCAACTACGTAACTTTTCACACGCTTTAGCATGAATTAGGGTATTTCTATCATTGCATTACCTTGGCGGCTTACTGCAATTAGAGCGCCTAGCGTAAACTGCAGCCGACTACTTCCTACCTCGCACACTGTGCTTACTATTTCGCCTCTCATTCCCCATAAAATCTTTATATCGCTACTACCGTTATCCTCTTTCTTAGATGCATCATAAGCAGAATCACAACGAACGTTGGTAGTTGCGCTGTCAAGGTGTATCTAGTCATGGCACTCTCATTGGTCATACGGGCCCCACACCGCCGGTTCATCATGACAACTGGAACACAGTCGATGTTACTGGCTTGATTCTCCATACTGCCTGGCGTCAACGACATGGAGGTACCGAATACTGCAAATCTCACTCAAGTCGAATTTATCCCCACGCTTCTTCATGGTCAATCAGACTCCAGGAATGACCTACAGGCCGGCACTCAACGTACCTCTACACTAGCATGTAGATGGGCAGCGAACGATGTGATTGGCTCGTAAATCGCGGGGATGAGCCCGACATGAGGTGAGATTTAGCGGTACACTATGGCAAGAAAAAAAAAAAAAAAAAGGAAAGAGGCCACGGCAGTTGTTATAGTCCGTCCCCAACTCCTTGGATAGACTTGGCTCGAGCCTAGAGGTAGCTGGGGGGGCAGAGAAGTCTTACTTTGGTTTATAAGCACAGCAATAGACGATTTGATCGAGATTGATGGATGCGGTTTAGCTTCCTACATGGTGTGTATCTATTAGGTATGTATACTACTTGTGGAGGCTGGCTAGAAAGAAACGAAATCCGTGGTAAGGTTGAGGCGCCTAGTCTAGACGGACGAACATGTGCAACACGCAGAACGAAACGAAACGAAGCTGACATGAAACCGTCCGTGACCATGACCGGGCATGATTGTGGAGGGTTGCTTGCTGCTGATCCAGCTATCCAGCTCCTTGAGAATGCAGAGATCCTCTAATGGGTCTAAGTAAGCTTAGACTACACGTGTAGTATACCTTACCTCCTGGGCGGGATTATAGATCACGAGAACCATCGAAGTTCCATATTTGGTATGTCCACAAATCATGGTTTCCAACTTGACCGTTAAGGCGTCTGGCATCAGAGTCCGACGACCCAGATTCTGGCATGTTCTATTAAAAAGCCAAGCGCTCTCTGTGCCACTGCCTTGCACTTTGTCGCTTTCTTTCACTCTATCTTGTTTTCTTTCCTTGTTTTTTTCTTCTTTTTTTTCTCTTTTATTTCTTTCCTTTTTCTCTCTTGTTCTAACAGCTCACCTCACCTGACCTCGTTAAACCCTACCTAGAACCAGAACCGAGCTGCAGGCCAGAGCAGCGAGCGGGTGCTGTCTCCAGAAGTAAGTCTGAGTTAATTACGAGAATCGCTGATCTGACAGTTTCGCAATTGGACCCTGAAAATCTTATTGAAGCGAACCGCCAAGCAAAGCGGAGCGAAGCCCGACTCCGTAGATGCCGGGCCGGAACCGTGCGGATGGCTTCTGCTTTTGTTCTGGCGTTCTGGCGCTGGTAGTCAATAGTGCCATTTTATCACTTGCACACCATGTACTGTATATACTGTTCAGCAACCGAGATTAGAAGTTTCTTCTAGAAGACTTTTTGCCGTGTTGGTGGATGTCCCGAACAAGGGGAGGGACTTTAACTCCGAGCGAAAGCTACCGTAAACTTACGAGTACCGAACCAGATGACCAAAGAATAGGTAAGAGATATACCATCATGACGGTTTTTAGTTTCTTTATCGTCGACTCTCGAGTAAGGAGGTAGTGGACCTTCAGACGTAGATCCGGTCCTGCTTCCTCGCCTCCAGACTTTGAGACTTTGAGATGGCACGCATGGCATCTGTAGTTGGAAACCCGGAACACGTTGGGATAAGCTCAACCCCCCAAGCCCCAAACCCCAAATCCGAAAATCAGCCCTGCCATCATCAATTCGACAATTACGATTCTCATCTGCACCTTCGCGGAGCCTAGAAAGTGCGACGGAGCCACCGCAAACGCGGAGTTAGCGGTCTGGCGGGGCCTTCAATGTGCATCGGTGAATATGTTTAGCATCTAGTGGTTTTACTATGCCTGTTATGTACATAGTGCTAGAATTCAAAAGATAATAAGGACTTGAGGGGCACTAAAGTCAAATGAATACCGGAGTCAATGCCGTTTAATGTTAGAGGCAGCTGAGGCCCGAGGGACTGGGTCCCCAGGTTTGGTGTGAGTGGAGAGGTCCCTCTGGTGCACTGTAAGAGAATTATGGGCGGAATGTGGAAGTGAGACAGTGGTCGGACTTGAGACATTTGAACCGCTTCACTTTCTTTCTTTTTTTTCTTTTCATTTTTGTTTCTTTTCTTGTTGCGAAAAGGTCCCAAGCGAGGGCGTGACACACTGCGGACGTTTTCGAAGGCGCGACATTACCGACTTGAGGGGGCAAGTAAGCAGAAAAGCAAAGAGAAACACAACATTCGAAACTATCGACGAGGTTTTATTCGGTATGCCGGATGAACCCCTCTGCTCCTTCATATCAGTAACTTGGGAAGGGAATGAGCGAGTTATGGCGTCAGAAAGCCTTGCTATGAAAAAAATTACACGACAAGGCGTTGAAGGTTGGAGGGTAATGCGCAAAGTGGAAACGGGCGCAAGTTTAAGTGAATCTCTCAGTTGTTCGCCATCCAGAGTCCCAAACTTTCGGTTTACAGGGCTGACTGAAGGCGCGGTACCAATCAGTAGCTCTGTCGGCGGCTCGGAAAGAGGAGGACGGAGTTCAGGGCCGAAAACGTTGGTTGGTCGTCTTTTTTTTTTTTTTTTTTGGGAGAGGCAGAGGTAGCCCGGAGATGAAGGGTAGCAGGGTAGGACCAACTGTGGACTGCATGTGGTGGTTGAACTGCTTGTCGCAGGTATGCATGGGGATGTAGTGTAGAGAATCACAAATGTGCGCGTATAACCTTTGGGCTTTGGCGATGTACTAGTCGGCTGTGGTTATGTTTTTTTTTGCCGTGGTTTCGAGATGTGTCCTGGAGCATGATCTTTCATCTAGGCAGTCAGTAGAGTGAGATATCGTAAGTACTGTGTACCCGTTACATACGGAGAGCGGTGAAGTTACCGACTGTACGGTAACCTAACGTTAGTCCACGGAGAAGGGCCCATCTGTGTGGACAAAAGCTGCGATCACATGAAAATTCTGTTTTCCAGCGGTTTTTGCTCTACGCAGTCGTTCCCAGATGATAGCCCTCTGTGACTTGATGGAGGACTGCAGCGGCCCGAAAAGTTTACCACTCAACTGCCTATTCAAGCCTGGCGCCTGATCCTCTCTGCCCATGTAAGCTAGAGCGGTGAAGGTGAGGTCTACGCAGTGATAGGTCAGAAAGGGTAGGCTCAGGCGGCCCTTGATACCTTGATGGGCTTTGTTAGTTTGTACAAGAGAAACCATTCTTGGAAAAGATATTTGTATGTCATCCCTTGGGGGTTGGCTGTCGAAAAAGCCGGATTTTGATAAGCGTGATAGGGCACGCCGTTCACCGGGAAGGAGAGGATCCGTCCTTAGAGGTAGTGATGAATGCAGTGAGATCTTCCCGCCCATAGACCGAGAGCTGCCGAGCGGTACGCTTTCACCCTCTTGGGCTATCGTTGGTCCGCCTAAGTGGCCCCAACTGAGGCATAGGTCTTCAGGTCCCGTGGCGTCCTCCACTTGCTATATCGATAGATGCATAATACCCGCTGAGAAGGTAGATCACCACCGGGTGCAAACGACAGGGGCCTGCTCGCGCCTTTTCTGGTTGTTGTCCTTGACGGGGTCTATGAGGGCACAGCGGTGATCTGGAAGAGTGGAAATAAAACAAAGATGGAGTTGGGGACAAACCCGACCTAACGGAACTGCGGGAGTGGCTGGACCGGATGGGAGATGAAGGCAAGGTGGTTCTCACTTGAAGACTGGGACATGCCCGCCGGCTACAGTGGTACTGAGTGGGAACACAGACATCCCTCTGTTCTTGGTCGTTGATGGATTGCTGGATCTGACCATCAAGTCACCGCCTTTCTCCAGTGGAACTGGGTGCGCTTTGCCAAGGTAGGCAATCCGGCACAATCCACAGTATCTGGGGAAGATGTGTGATACAGAGAGATCCCGGATCTGAGAGGGAAGAAGGGTAAACCTAAGGGCATCAGAGACATGGAGGGTCCCAAGACTGCCAGTTTCAGCTTCTGTGTGTCTGATAGGGAATGAAGCAAGTGACGCCTGAGACCCCGCATGTTTTTGTTGGGGACATATGTCAGTCATGGTATGACATATTGAGGGTTGTGCATGGCGATGTTGTTGAATGTTCGTCTTTCTTCTTCTTCTCTTTTTTTCCTTCCTTTTTTTTTTTTCCCCGACCAGGAATCCGTTGAGAATTTCCGAGTTCTGGCACAATTAGAACCACTCAGGCCAATGAACGTAGGGTACCTCGGGTACCTAGAGATAACCCCTATGTCCTTTCAGCCGGGGCTGCGCATTCCTTATTTTACAGGTGTCGCCGCAATGGGACCATGGCATGATAGTCTGTCTGGAGGAACTCCTGGGGAAGGAATGGGACGGAAAAGTCCGTTTGAGGAGGTACCTCTAGCCATGAGGACGGGAGAGTACCTACCTACTTTGGAGAACTGAATCGACGGAAGGGAGCCTGTTTATCGGAGATTTTGTGGAAAGCCCTTGCAAGGGAAGAGGCTCTCGTCTAGACCTAGGCACCTTCCGTTGGCCTCAAGCCTGCGACTTCCCAAGATGCTGCTACGTAGTGTAGTGTATAGCGCTCCCACTTGAGCTTGACTGGTGCGGTAGGATTAGCGGATCATGGGACGGGAGGTAGCCAGATGTCCAGTCCATGGAGGTAGCATGACGGCGGTTGGCTCTGAACTGCTTTGAATTGTGCCCAATCGTAATACATGGTTCTCATCGCGTTAATGTAAATTTGACAGGATGACCCACAGGCGCGCTCCATGCACTGTGTACATCCGCAGCAGCGACGCCGACGTAAGTGCCCTTTTCTGCCCTGTCATCCGCAGAACATCCAATTTCCCATAGCCTGGCTGGGTTGCGGCAGGAGCTTCCTTCCATCTTGCAAGAAACTGCAATGCAGTCAGTGCTCGACCACTGCCCATCAGCGCCCGCCCGTCCATGCTTGGAATGGGGAGCCACAACTTCCACTTTGGAAAGAAAGAGGTGGAAGAGAATTGATCACAATGAAGAAAGTCTTCTCTTGATGCACCAATCCTACAGTACTACCATTGCCATGGTATCCGAGGTCAATGACTGCGACAGCGCGGATGCTGTGGCCCTTGTGAAGACCTGAAATATCGTCACTGCAAATATTGCGAGGCATGTACACTAGTATGTATCTAGCCATATTCCTTAATCCTCAGTATTTGCATGCTAGAACTAGCACCCCGCCGCGCCATGAAGAGCAGTCACCAGTCAACCAGTTCACCACCACTATGTCGCCGTAGTGTACACAACAAAAGCTATGTAGCTGGCAAGGTACCACACCCTCACGGTGATCAATCCCCAAGAGCCCCAGTCCGCGACCGGCCATCCCGCCTTTCGCTCCCTCGTCACAAAGACAAGGACAGACAGCCTTTTCCCTTCTCGTCTTGGGCGTAATCGCAGAAGCGAGGAAAAGAGGGCCAGATCGTCGCTGGCTACCCACCAGTGTACAAAGCCAATTGATCTCGCCTGGAAAGCTCCGAATTCGGATTGGACAATGTGGTGTGTACCTTGCATAGCAACTATCGTGTATCGTGCAATATCGGCTCTACGAAAGGTTCGATAGCATACCTCTATCGGAAATCGAATATCGCCGTGGACACGGGACAGTGGCATCCGTTCACGTGCAGCGGGTTGCTGGTTACTAAATGGCGATAATAACTTGGGCATCCACTCTGGAAATTGAACACGATGCAAAGTACCCTTCGCAATACCACTCAACCCGCTGCTTCCAAGTAGCACTCCACGACCCACATACCACCAAAGCGGTACAGCAAGCACAGATCTTTTACATAGGATGGATCTTTTCTTATGGTGATCAGATCTCATATCATCCATCCTGTTTTCCGACCAAGGCAATACCTTGCTGCCTCTCCAACGAGTGCCGAAAGAGCCAAGGCTGACAGGCCCTGAACCTATGAGCCTGTGACACAGGAACTGAGGTGACTATCTTAGCTCGGAGTGTCGGCTGGTGGGAGTGGTTGGTTGGCGGCATGCAATGCTGAAAGCGAGACCGGCATCGTACATGCATGTGCTGTGCTGTACCGGGTACTATTCAGACGTCGTATCGACTGCGTCCTCTCATATGGTGCTGTACAGAGCACTGCGTACGGGGTACACATGTCGTCGCGGCGCGGTACGGGATCCCCATCAGCCCCTGTCCATCAGCAACAGATATTGGAAGATGTTGGAGGGATGGCGGAGAGGGCGACCATTCTCACTCTTCTCCCGCCCTCTCCTGGTCCGGCAAGTTCACCACTATCATGTCGTGACGCAGATGAAGGAGGAGACATGCAACCTCACGAACCCCACCTCAGTCACTTGAGCTCACTCTGGCACCTATCCCACACCAGGTCTACGGGAACGGATGTTGCCACCATCACCACCATCACCACCATCACCACCATCACCACCACCACCACCACCCGTTGCGCCTTGCCGATCGTTGGACAGCAGCCCTCTGTCAGCCGTCAGAACGAGTCACAATTGTCATCTGGGTTGATAATGTCCTTGCTGACCAAAACTAACTCAGGCATCTCAGATGTTGAGAAGAGAGATCTTTCTGATGCAGTGTCTCTGGCTGCTATTCTAGCAGGTAGCCGAGAGTGGGACGATGATGAGGCTACTACTCCGTAGAGCAAGCTCAGGGAGTGGCATCTCGGGAATCTGATATTGCCTGTGTACATGCAATGTCAGCACCCCGTTACTACAATATGGGTTGTGTGTACGCACCATTGTGATGACCTGCGCGACCCCCCCGGAAATGGTTTCTTTGTCACTTCTGCACTTCTGCCGTAACAGAACTGGGAGGGCGTGGGCCAAGGAGGACCAGCACGTCGTCACTTTCATCGGTCGCGTTTTTATCTCTGATTGTTGTCCTTTCAAGACTGCTTCTTTCACCATCAGGATTCGGACGCCACTTGCGCCGAAACGTTGTCCTCTCTCTGTTGTCGCGCCGCGCGCTAGCATCGAGACTCGGCCTCCTCTTGCTTCTGCAAACACAGTATCGAGAGAAGGTACATCGCGATATACTATACTAAAACTGTTGGCTTTTCCAACGCCCTACGCCAATCATCTAGCGAGCCGTGAAATTAACGGTCGGTATCTAGAAACCCCTCGCGGTCTCAAAAGTCGCATGCACAGCAGCATAACAACACGAAACGTACCGAATCTACAGTGATCTCCCTACCTTGACTCGTCCTGGCTCCCACCCGCGGCCTTTGCACTATCACCTTCATTCAACACATTGGAGGATTGTGCGGCATAAAAGAAGACGACGAGATAGAGGATGACTTGCGAATACGACGACGAAGATAGGGGATAGTTTTTTGCGCGCTGTCTGGAAGCTCCATCATCAGCCCAGAGCTACACGCCAGAGTCATTACCAGTACGCATTCTCTCATCAAGGGTCCCCGGGGTGCGCGACTGTCTGATACTGTGTGATAGCAGCATTGGCAAGCTACAACACGCGTCAGTGGCCTGTCACGACGACGCCTTACCAGTCAGGACCTACCATTAAACTACACAATACTGAGGTATAACTGCTAGGATTCAGGTCCGGGGACCAGCCCCTTGGTGTCACCGCTTATCCAGATTTCCCCGCAAAACGGAGCAGATGGGCAGACGAATGAAAAACGAAGGAGAGAACAAGAAGATATAGAGAGAAAGGAAAAGACAAGAGAACAAGCGGGAACAAAAAAAAATAAAAAGACAGGATTCCGCTGGTCAACCGTCATCGACAGGAGCAAAGTGAAAGCCAGGCACATGCGCAAGCACTCAACCGCGAAAACAGGCAAGACCCCGGACCAGAGAGAGCTCGGCCCACTCGTTTGCTTCTTTCTGATTGCCCCGTCGAGCAAAGGAAGCTACGGGGATCCACACCAGAAGAGGTACTCGCTTGTTGGCTGAAATCTGCCGGATTGGCGATGAGGGTGGACTAGCTGCAAATTCCATTTACTTTTCTCTTCCGCACTCAACGCTGATTGACCGTCTCTTTTCTCCCCCCAAAGCTGGTCACTTGGTTCGACGACGAGACAAACCGACCACAGAGAAAAAAAGACGCCAGAAAAGAAAAGAAAAAAAGAACACGCACACACGCCAGGTGTTACGGTCAGAAACACCAAACACGTACAGCCACTAGGTATGTACACTTTTACATTACAGGCTACCCAACCCCCCCAGCCAGCGAGAAAGCCCCCTTCGTTCCACCTGATCGTCCTATCCGAATCCCCGACCTGTTCCCCTACCTGTGCCGGGCTCCCACAGCACATATCCTTCAACCGAGTTCTGGATTTTCCAGACTCCCCGTGCTCCCCACCTACCCGCAAGCCCCCCCTCGAACAGGCAACCTTCGTTCATTGCTGCCCAACTGTTTGCGGCCTGTCTGGCTTGAGCCTCGTTGACCTGAAGCTAGGTGTGAGCCGAGAGGAGGCTTGACGCAAACTCACCAGGGGCCCTCGCTTTAGGTTACGTTTGTCCGGCGCCAGCCCGGATCCCTCAGCCTACGTGCCTCCCTACCTACCTACACCCTCCAGAGTCCAAAACTTCGACAGGTTACCGAGTCTTTTCACCCCCATACCCACATATGAGATTTCCCCGATTACATACCTACGCTGGACTACCACGCCCGCACGGCTCTCATGCCCCTTCCAGGCCAATAAGCTTCATCCCGTGGCCTTGCTTTCTTATGATTGCGCGCGAACCCTGAAGCGCCGAAGCTTGCTTCCCTCTCTCGCCTCTTACATTGGACTCCGACTGTACGGGTCCTACTCCTGGCAAGCTTCGTCTTAGCTTCCTCATTGCCCCGTTCCTGGGTTCGGAAAACTAGGGCTTGTTGTTCGGAAAGCTCCATGGTGTTGCCACAGCTTATGCGCTTGGGCTACTGCTTGCTCCCGCCTGTCGTCTGAACTATCTTCCCCCTTTGGCTACTGCTGTTTGGCGTAAACGGTGTATCTGTAATACGGATACACATACATATTACCCAGCATGGACCCAGGCCCGTCCGACCCAAAACGGCCCCGTCTGTCAACTACCTCATCATGGTCAGTAGGTGGTGCGCACTACGGTGTGTCGCTTCTACATCCCACGCCATCTCCGACTGCTGGTCAACATCATACTCAACATCCTCATCATCCAAACCACCCCACGCCATCGCCGCAATATCAACAAACCTCCCCTCATCCGTTCTCACGACCCCCAGGTCCTGGTGATCCCGGCGCCGCGCCTGCTGTCTCGCATCCCCACCCGCCGCCGCCGCCGCCGCCGCCACCTCCGGCTCCGTCGCAGCAAGGCCCCGTCGACGACCGGCGACATCATGAGCCCGACCGATATCCACCTATGCAAGACCACCGACAACACCATCCTTCATCTCAGCCACCGCCAGCACACCACCAGTACAACTCTGGCTACCATCCTCCTCCGAGAGAAGTTGTGGTGAAGCAGGACCCGGCCGACGACAGCAACACACCACCACACCTACGGAGGCCCAACTCGACGGGCCATGCTCCCGACGGCATGACACCAGGGACCCCGATGTCAGCTCTGCCTCACCAAGGATACCCTGACGACAAACGCCATATGAGCTATGACAATGGTCCGCAACAAAATATGTACAGACAACCGAGTTTCCCCCCTCAAACGCCCATGGCGCATGGCCAGCCATACGACTATCCCCCTCACTATGGACATCATGGCGACCTTCCCTATATTCAACTTGCCCCAGCGGCAGGAAAGCGCAAGGCGCAGCGAGCAGCGCAGGTTGGTTTGGGTTCTGGCTTCAGGATATACACGCAACTTGCGATCCAGCAAGAGTTGCGACATGGACGTAAAAGGCTAACTTCCCCCATAGGCCTGTGATATGTGCCGGCAGCTGAAGGCTAAATGTGACGAGCTTAAACCCTGTAAAAGCTGTAGGGATAAGAAGGTCGAATGCAAATACCGTGAGGCGGTGCCAAAGCAGTAAGCACCTGTATACCGGCTGTCGGGTGGTTGTTACGTTGCTGACCAAACAATGTAGACAAGACAAAGTCGCGGCCGATATCTTGGAGAACCTCATGGGTCTGAGGAACGAGTTCAGCATGTTCAACCATCGCATCACGAGACTCGAGAAGAGGTTGGAACGCGTTGCGCCGCCGTTGGAAGCGCATCCGGAGATGATGTCGTCGGATGATGATCGTCCGGCCTCTGCTGACTCAGCAGTCATTGAAGATGGCTACAACTCGTCGTCGCCAGGAGGCTCGGAAAACGCAGCAAGGACGCAGGCTCCTATAGATACACAGGAAGCGCGCAACATCACGAAAATTATGGACGAAGAGAGGGAACAAGAGCCTGGCCCATTTGTACGACCTGGAGCGCCCGCCATTCCGCTTAATCATACGACCCTGGCTGCTCTTCTGCTCAAGTGGAAGTCGATAAAGCGCCTAGCGCAACGTTTTTTGGATGCCGAAAACATCAAGTTTGTTGAAGAATATCCCATCCGACAGGAAGAGAGGCGGGGACTTCTTAGGTTATGGGGCAGAGGAGAAGGCCTCGACAGCAGCCGCATGGACAGAGAGTCCAACCACAACCTGGGTATGATGGAAGTTATTGATGACTACTCGGAAACGGGAGCGCCTTCGCCTGCGGATTGTTGGGGTGGGATTAGCGGCTCGCCTGGGCCGATGGACCACAGGTCTACCATGGTCGGAGTCCAAACATTGGACTTTTCGGAGGAAACCGTCTGGAAGTACGTGCAGAGCTATCTGGACA